ACATAATATATTATTTTTTAAGAGTATATAATATCAGCTCACTATTTGTTTTCTGCCTCTCTGCAGCTGACCCAAGCGCAACACACCAAATTTACGTTTAGAAGATCCAACCCTGCGTTATTACTTCTAATATTATGCAGTGAATTCACCTATTATCAAAATTTAAGTTAAGGACATTACCTGTGTCCTTAATTTTGCTATTTTATGATATTTTAATTTGTATGTAAGTCATATAAACGGGTAAATTATTACAATTTAAACCATTATAAAAAAATATTAAGAACTAACGTTGGAAAACAGCCATACAGGTAATGTTATTAGTTTGAAGTTTGACAGTAGGTGAATTTACTCTAATATTAAAAGTGATAATTACTAAAAAAATATGGTTGGTTCTGCTAAATATGAATTTTGCTATATTGTGAGTGGGTTAGAGTGAGAACAAATGGTGCGCTGACATCGTCTTAACCCTGGACGAAAGGTTTACATAAAAGCTTATAATATTTATTGGATACTGTCTATCTGTGCACAATAATCTCACCGAAACGGATTGAACGTCGTTTGTGTATTTTTCCGAAATTTCTCTCGTCTAAAATGTAGCTAGTTTTGGTATTGACGCACAAATTGCGTCATAGTGATTTTGGGAGATCCAGGCGCCATCGTAGTGCGAGACGTTCTACTGTATACAACGCAGTAATAATATTATTAGTAATAATACCATCGATGTTATAATTTTCGTTTTCCGGACCATAGAGACGATTACAGACATATTTCTACCCCGTGGTTAAAGTTTCTCCGCATCATAAAGCGTCAATGGCTAACAATTCGAACACGAAACATTAAAATTACATAAATCGATTAATAACATTTACAATATATAATATTTGTATAGATACAGGTAACCTACCCAATGATCATATAAAGTTAAAATGAACTCATGTGATTTTTTAGTAAAAAAATGAATATGCAATTTAATATAAGAGTGTGACTCTAAAATCTTTAAGTTGATTGCATTAACATTATTATGAAATGTAGTTATATAAACAAGACTACGAGAGAAGTTTAAAACCATAAAGCAAGAGATATAAGAGATAGAAAATTCCATTTAGGTGACTTTTTCACTGTCTCAGTTAGTGTAAAAGTTAAAAATCTATGAAGTATCTCAGTGATTTTGTTTATCGTACTAAAATAAGTAAAATAATCTTTTAAGTCCAGCACGCGTTCCGTACCTGGTTCTGTTAAAAAAAAAAATAATTTTTGAACATGACTTTTTATTTATAATATAAATTATGCATAAATACGATTAATATATTATCATACACCGAAACCTCCCCTAACGGACACCTCTAAGGCTCTAAATTATGAACACCTTCAAACAGCAGATAAAATGTCAGTGACCAAGAGTGTCCAGTATTTGAGGTGTCGCTGTACTACAGTACTACAGTGGCGCATTTAAGCATTATGCTCCCTGGGGCAATTATTTTTACTGCTCCTCCGTCAACAGAGCTTGTGCATTAGTTTTTTTTTTAAAGTTATTTGTAGGTTGTATTTGCTGACACCATAGAATTGCCACTGTGCCGTCGCTGTGACACTGTATAGGTAGACTTGTATGAAATCCGTTAACAATCTTTATTCCCATCAGAGGGAATAGAAAATATATTTCCTGTTTTTTGTCGTAAAATGTAAAAGATAACTGCATCGTACGAAAAAAATTTTTAAATAACAAGTATAATTACATCGACAATATCATAATATTTAATAATATGTAATAATATTATATTGTGAAATATGTGTTAGCACCGGGAGGGGGAGAGGTGATCAATAATCAGCAAAACCAAAATAACATTTACATAACCATCACTGATAACTAAGTAAATATTTATCTAACCCTTTAGAATAGAATTTGGCTCCCGAGCGGGCACCAATGCGTACTACACAATTACCTACAATTTACTGCTCCGTAGCAGTAGATATAGTATAATATGATCTTTGTGAATGTATTCTAATCGTATTACATATCGTATGGTATATAGTAAACGCTGACAGCCAGATGCTCGATATTGCTATTCTAACGGCATGTTAGTTCAACTATAAACAACTAACGAATAATAATAATTGTTCGTCGTCCATTAACTCGATATTGATTGTCGTGTAAACACATTAACATAATAAATTAAAATTTCTAATGGCACTGAATGCGTTACTCGATAAATATTACTTATAACTATGTAAGTCTGATGTTGAAAATACGTATTGGGTACTAATTTTGTTTATCGTAGTGTTCCAACTGAGGAAGTTTTGATCGTTTAATTATTTAGCAAGCGTCACATTTACACGTTCGTTTTTCTGTTCGGCGTTGCTTACATTTGTACGGAAATACAACGAAAATTCATTGCTGTATAAACGTTTGGAACGATATCAACGACTGAGTTATCACAATATTATTGTTATAACAGTATTTCTACTAATAATGTACACTAATGACAATAAAATAAAACATAAACTATTATTCTCCTTTTCGGTAAATTGGACGCAACTAAACACACGTAACCGTATTTGGTTTGTTTAATACATTTCGGTCGATTTAATAATATACAAAAATTAAAACACCAATTTTAGTATAATATAATATTATAAACCTGTATATTAAGAATATTCACAGTTAATAACAGTCATAAGGAATGTAAACGATGGGCGTTCAGTATCTTTAATATATTAAATACTCGTAATGTATTATAAAAAAAAAATGTAAGCAACATACTATAATAATGGTATCTACCTATTCAATTTATAATCAACCTAAACATGGCCAGAATAATTGAAAGTAATTTCAAAAATTGAAAATATTAATTTCGTTCTGATATTGGTTATAATATTCTACAACGGACCACAGTGGTTTGCTTGTTGCTTAGAATATAATACTATTATGTTATAGGTAATACAAGATTTTTGGAATAAAAATAAGAGTACCGTTTTAGTTTCGCACGCTGCCTTGGCTGATGTCCAAAAGACCTGGCCAATATTCATATAGCACATAGTATCTATACGTATTTTATAGCCGGAATTTGTATAAAATACTTTCGTACATAATTTTCGAAACGAAGAATTTATTTAGGAAATAAATCGTCAACTTTATTGATGTCAAACGCCTTACGGGATATAAATCATTTTGATGCATTATAACGAAAAGTTGTTTTGATTATTGTAACTATATAATATGTATTATTATTTATAATATTGAGTAGATAATTTAAAATCTATGGAAATTGTGATTTTTTTTTTTAATTTCAACAATCTGCCGTTAATAATTCTATGATTGCGTGGAAACATTTCTGGACGTCTTGCTATAAAATATACAATATGCTATATAAATCGTTAAATGTGCCTCCTCCCCAATCTGTAAGTGGCCAAACTCACTACAATTATTATGTGTGTAACAAACTAACAAATCGGATTTGAATGGCACTGAACTGTAGAGCTTAACGGTATTACAATAATACTAACGATTAGCGATCACTGTGTGTATGTGTGTATAATTGCTACCAATATAATTTTTTTTGTCCCAACTTTTATGCGTTTATATTATACATTAAAAGTATTTGACCTTTAACATACAGGTACATACCAGTACAATACATACAGGTATTCAAGTTTTCATCGCCTAAAATATTATCATAGGTCACATAGGTAACAATATTACATATTATAGCAATATCAGAACCGATATTATGAGATAGATATTTTGTTAAATTTTAAAAATTGGTACAAAAAAAAAATGTTACTAATGTTTTTTTACAATTTCATTAGAGTCATAAATTAAACATGTATGCCTGGAATACATTATTTTATACACTATAGGTACCTATAGTACTATAATACTATAATGTACTATACACATTGCAAGCATAAACTCTCTATTCAGAAATTATATCTACGGATTCAAATAGAACTACACGCCTACACTGTTCGATGTTCATTTACCAAAAAAAATAATAGATCAATGGTATCTACACAAAATTTATATGGAATTCAAACCCCAAAACCAAGAAGTAATTGAAATTTGAAACACTTATAAGAACAAAGGCCGAATTCCTCTACTTAAAAAAATACGTTTACAACTGAAACTGAAATAAAAAAATATGTTCTTAATTAATATTTTTTGCTCGTCTCAAGGTACTAAAGAAGTATGAAAAAAAATAACTGTCTAAGAAATATTTGTTTCTCAACAAATAAATTCTCTTCGTCTTTTCATTAATTTGTATATAATATGAAGCATATTGCTGCGCCAAAAGTAATAAACAGGCACTGATAATGTACACGAACAGACATTAATTTTATACCTTTTTTTGTTTTTTAATAACATTGAAAAAATAATGCCGATCGTCAAAAGTCTAACGTGGCACCAAGCCACCTAGGTCCTAGGTATCAAGGATTATAAAGACATATTATAGTTCATTATATCTTATAATTTACTGTATGAAGAAAGTAGATGTTAAAAATAAAATATTTTGTAATTTCACCTGCAGCCATGTGAAACATAATATTATAATATTTCGTTCTAATTAATGAACTTTATTCAGTATTCATTAATATAATATAATTTTGTAGTTACGCAATAAAATAATTTACTGGATCACTGCAATGAATTTAATTTATACAAAGTAGGTACCTATTATTGGGTAATTGTTAGTCCATATACTCAATCAGTTACCGACTATGTATGACATTAAAACGGCATAAAAATAATTTTGTAGCTTTTATTTTAAATATTTAAATTGAGATTTATAAACTATTTAGACTACATAAATATATCATAGAACGTAACGACACATATTAATTGTTCATTTGTTTTAAAAGCAATTATTATAAACTGTTATTTTATCTTGTGATATTTTATCTTTTTTTATATATATTTTGTCCGAAATATTGCCTTGGGCAGAACAGATGACGACAGTAAAGTAGTTGCCAGAAAAAAAAAAGAATGTTTAACAAAAAATCTCATTGCCAGCCAGCAGAACTGTAACAGACGACGGGGAGTTAAGCTCAGGCTGTAAGTACGAACGAACGCGTCAACCGAGTGTCGTGTGATGTGCTTTCGGTAGTGAATATTTTTTCTTCTAGGGGGCTCGATGGATTTTAGATGGATTTTGATTATCGCCCTGCTTAGCGTCAGAGGTAATTCATATTTCTAATAATATTTTGTAGTTATCGTTATTTCGTCTTGTGGAAATAATAATTATTCACGTGCATAAGCATACCTGCATGTAGGTGCGAGATTTGTGTATGTGTTTGTATGGGTTAATTTTTTTTATATATAATATAAAACATTATAAAAAGTGAATTTATAATATGCGTATTTTATAATGTAGCATATAATAAATTATAAAATAAACGACCCCATTAGGCTGTGCGGGGAAATATTATAATTGGAACATGACTAAAAGGCCGTAAATACACTATCTGAGTAAAAATAGTATTTCATATTATAGCGTTTGAAGAATATCAAAAACGTTTTAAGAAATTACACTTCTATATATTTTGTTCTTTTTGGCAAATGACAATAACACTTCATTTATTATTATGATTATTATTATTCCAATAAATTATGATTAAATAGTCTTTTTTTAAGTAACTTAAGCGATTTTCGTTAAATGTGGGTTATAAGTTAATATTTCTCGTATATAATCATTAACTGTTACTATATTTTAATATTAAATTTTTATCGTTTTATTTTCAAGTTTACATAATATATTATGTACAACGATTCTAAAACTATTATAGTATGCTATTTTATGTAATACGTTTAAGGTTGTAGTATTAGGAACACACTCAATTGTACAATAATAATTGTAGGCAGGTAATTTAAATACTATCAAAAAGACCACATTCTGGTTGTAATTATTACCTTTAATTTCCTAGTGTATATTGTTTTTTTTTTTACTTTTAAATGTGCTTGAAAACATTCACACATTTGCAAAACTATTATGATAACATTTAAAGATATTTCAAAATGTCCTTATTCGTCAGTATAAAAACACGAATTTTCATAAAGTTGGAAACTCCCTCACTCAACGCGATCCTGCCGCTCGCGACATTTCTATTTCTGTAGGGGCATTAGGTTATGTTGTGTATTAATAGTGTACCGACAGAACACAACTGGGACACTCTGGTTGCAATTTTCTATTTTTATATTACCAGCGGCTGTCTGGGATTTTTAAATACTCTCGTTGGCGATTTTTTTTTTTTTATCTATTGACGGTCATTAGTCATTGCTTATTACTAAATATTTTATTGTTTTGTCCATTGCCGATTATTATTACTTTTTCTTGTATTAATTTAGTCCATTGTCTATCTAATATAATGTCATATCTAAAACTATAAGATCATTAACTATTCCATGATTCAATTTTACTCCATCGCTGATTTTGGTTTAGATACATTTTGTGAAACTTTTGCCAGTGTACCATCGGCGTCTATAGCTCCATCGGAGGTGGATTGTCAACCATACGTAGAGAAAGCCATCAAAGAATTAGTTACTCCAGAACCTATTGGTAGTTAGATATTTAAAATTTGTAAATTTCGTTACATATTATATTCAGGAAGTGTGTCGTATTCAGGAAGTACAGGACGCGACCAAAACATTCAGAATGAAATCCCCACAAGTGGAAGCACTCCAAATGATGATGTTACAAGCTCGAGTTCTCAAGATGGTAATTCTCCGGATGATAGCAGATCGAGTACACCACCCGAACCGGTAAAAAATAATTACTTTAATAATGACTATAATAAAATTAAGCTAGTGTTAATTTGTTAATTTTTAGGAAAAGTTCAAAAAAGAAGAAGAAACAACCAGAGACGAAGTAAATTTAAGTGAAGGTGTTAGTGAAATAAATGAAATTGAAAATAATGTTAATGCAGTAATTGATGCAGAAGAAATCCATCCACTTGAAATAACTGAAAAAAATCAAACATATAAAACTGAAGAAGAAGATAGTGAGATTGAAATCGTTAGCGAAGAAGAAGAAAATCTGGAAAATAATAATATAAGTGCCATAGGAAATGAAATAATAGAACCTGAAAAAGAAACTTTACCCATTATTTTGGACAAAGATGTACTTAACAATAACGTTGAAATTATAATTGATGTTGAGGATATAAAAATTAAAAATGCTGATAAAATAGTAGAACCTATTGTGACTAAGATACAAGTAGAAAAAACAATAGAAACTACTAATGTTGACAATAAAATGGAAACCCCTAAACAGTTATTTAAAGGAACAAAAAAAAGGAACCCAAAATATTGGAAGTTTGATCCAGACGATGAACCTGAAAATTCTGTTCCAATTGTAAAACAAAAACCAAAAAGAAATCTAAAATACTGGAAAATTGATCCTGATGAATTTCCACTTGAACAGACACCAAAACCAGTTGAAACTCCGAAATTACGTAATCCTAAATATTGGAAAATCGATCCAGAAGAAGAAAAATTGTTCAAGCTAGCGGAAGCTAAAAAGACTGAAGAAAAAATAAAACCAGTTCCTCAGAAACAAAAAAGAAACCCTAAGTACTGGAAGTTTGATCCAGATGAAGAGAAAATAGAAGTAGATAACGAAAAACATTCGATAATTGATAATACATCAAAACAAAGTTCAAATCAAATTTTCAAAGGAACTAAAAAACGAAATCCAAAATATTGGAAATTTGATCCAGATGAATATGAAGACGAAATAAAAAAAGAACCAGTAGCTAAAGTTAAGAGAAACCCTAAATACTGGAAATTTGATCCCGACAACGAGCATGATGAACCTAAAAAAATTGATGAAGAAAATAAAATGGAAAAGGATACGCATAAAAAAAATAAATATTGGAAATTGGACGAACTAATTGAAGACATAAAAATAATAGACAATAAAGAAGAAGACAAACCAAAACAGAACAAGTATTGGAAAACAAATGAATCAACTAAGGATACCAAAAAAATTGATCAAAAAGAAGAAGACAAATCAAAACAGAACAACAAGTATTGGAAAACAAATGAACCAAATGAGGATACAAAAACAATAGATCCAAAAGACGAAGAAAAACCAAAAAAGAATAAATATTGGAAAACGGAAGAAGTTGAAAATATTATACCCAATGAAAATATAAAACAAGAAGAACCAATCGCAAAAAAAAATAAATATTGGAAAGCAGAAGAAACGGAAAAACAAAAAGAAGTGAAAGATGAAGAAACATCTAAAAAAAATAAATATTGGAATACAGACGAAAAACCCGTAGACCCAGTAAAAGAAAAATTAATAGAAACTCAAAGAAGTATGTATTGGAAACTAGACGAAGAAGAAAAATCATCAAAATGGGAAAAACAAACTAAAAAAGAAAATGTTAAAACTACAGAAGGTAAAAAAAAAATATTCATAAATAATCTATTGATAGACACATATCAATTCTATGATTGTTTTTGTACATTTAGATGAAGTCACTGTTGAAGAATACTTGCCAGAAGAAGATTTAACAATGGTAATACTGCAATTTAATTTAATAACTTTTAACTTTTTAAGTCTTAGTATGTTAAGTATATTATTATGTGGACAATGGACATGTTAAACAAATTGACGTTGACCATTATAACAGTATAACATTTTTTTTTTTTTTAATGTCCTTAAAAAACTTGTAAATATTGAAAAAAAAATTATAATTTAACGTACCCAATAATAAAATAAAATCTTGTTTAGGACGAAGTGGTACCAAAGAATCTTCGAAATAAAAGTCATATAAAACAAACCTTAAAAATAGGTGAAAATACTGCACAGCATGATAGTTTTCTATCAAAAGTTGTAGATTCGACATTAAAAGAACTAAAAAAAGTATATGAAGTGGCAATTAAACCTTTGGAAATGACTTTCAAGTACAGAGATCTGAGTAACAGACATTTCGGAGGTAATTGAAATTGTTTATATACAATAATATTTGCATTACGACACAGTAATTATACGCGTACTGTGTATTATGTTTTAGAGCCAGAAATATTCTCTAAGCCACTCATTCTGTTTATGGGACCTTGGAGTGGTGGTAAATCTTCAATAGTTAATTATCTTTTAGACATTGAACATTCTCAATTTGCATTAAGAACTGGTGAGTAATTCCAATATATAGACCAAAATATATTATCATATTTCGTTATGCAATATTACAATTAATCTGAATTCATAAAATCGAATAATATAATATAATATAATATTGACATTTTTTTTTTTAAATTCGATTTAATCGTTATGTATTTTAAATTCTAATATATTCAAAAGTTATTTTCAATTGCTCAAAATCTTAATATTACAGTTTATGTAATAATAAAACTAACATATAACCTATGCGACTTTTTCAGCGCACCCACATTGACCGCGGGAACTAACACACCCATAATAAAAATTATTTGTTATTTATATCATACTAACAACATGCCCCGTCTATGAGTATAAGGTTAGAGTATGGAATAAAGCGTAACAAATAAAGGGCGCTTTTTGATTACTCGATTACTCGTACTGATAGTAGTGTGGAGTAGTATGGTAAGATAATATGTATAGATATGTAGATTACCTATTGTATTTTATCGTAAAGACAGCTTACATCACTGCGAGATTTCATTACGCCATTCGTAATTCTGTTTTTAAACATAAACACATAGTTCTTGTCTATTAGTATAAGCTATGTGTTAATGATACCCACGTTCGATGAAATCACAGATTAAAATTGATTAATAGTCGCGGTATAGAACACAAAATAACTTGAGGTATGTAAATAAAATTACCACCTGGTCACTAAAAATCTTATTACATCATAGTAGGAATGTTTCTGTTGTTCCTTGGTTTGGGTGGACGCTAACTGAATTTTCAGATATTCTAGCGAACGTCTAACTACTTTTTCAACTTAGGGTGCATTGTTCGGTAAGACGGTAATGCATATGGGTTCTTTTTACAAAATTACTATTATAAAAAAAAAAACTGTTTACGAAATGTATGATAGTATATTGATATCTGATGTAGCGATAGGTAATAGATATTAATATGTCTTAACATTTAACTCAGCCAACTACCTAAGTACATTAGTCATTGTGCCATCGTGGATTCTTAATAAAAAAAACTGCAGAATGCAGATGAAGTATGCTGTCCTAAAATACAAGAAAACTCTGGTTTTTAACTAATAAATAAATAATTTTCTTATACACATTGTCTAATTTGTATACTAATGATTGCTTCCATTTAAGGAGCGGAACCATCTCCAGCATATTTCAACATTATGATGTACAATAACCGCGAAGCGATTCTTGACGGAACGCAATTAGCGGCAGACTGGACGTTCTCGGGTCTTCAGAAATTTGGACAGGGTCTGTTGGACAAGCTCCGTGGACTCAAGTTGCCCCATCCTTTGTTAGAGAAGGTAAAGAAAATTAAAATCATTAGATTTTACCATTATAGCTAATGGTCATCGACTTGTGGTTCGACGCAACAAGTCCATGCAGTATATTAGCATAATCAGTGCTTGATTTGAGGGGACGTGGGGGGAGTTGCTATTCTTTTTAGAAAATATTTAAGTGTATCCCTTCTAATTATATCTTAATCAATAAGACATTTAAATATTCAGGTAAGCTGCATTTTTTTACACTTTGCATGTTGCACCCATCTTCTAATTTTCCCCAACGCAAGCACTGAGTATAACATAAGTACCATAGTCTTTAATATTATGTAAAATATATTATACTCTGTCCTAGCGAGAGATCACACTGAGCTGCAGTCTGATGAAAATCAGTGTGTTCTCTAGCTGGAAACTCTGCTATAGATATGGATTCTTTTAATGACAACAAAAATATATATTTTTAAATTGTATTACCAGAAAAAGAATATTTAAGTTTTAACTATAGATACAAAATAAATTTAGTAGATTAGTTAACCTACCTACTACTGATTACAGAAATATTCAATTCAGTTTTTCATTAATTTACCCGCGTGGCCGCATATGATCTTTAAGTAATCAGAAAAATGAAACAACATCGGATACTCTGTTATATTTTTCGTTGCTTTATCAACTTTATGATATACCATAGTAAAATATTGTATATTAATTAATTAATCTTTTTTTTAATTCAAAAAACAATGGATGAACACTGTTAAAAGAATCACCCTTAATTAATTAGTACCTAGCAAAGTAATACCAACAATGGCGAGTGCTTTTTCCGCAGGTGAACATCGTAGAGATTCCCGGAATATTAGAAATGCGTAAACACGTGGACCGGGTATTCCCGTTCAACGATGTGTGTCAATGGTTCATCGACAGGGCTGACATGATATTCTTAGTGTACGACCCGGCGAAATTGGACGTAGGCCCGGAAACCGAAGCAATATTGGACCAACTTAAAGGCAGGGAATATCAGGTTAATATATTATACGATGTGGAGTATATTTTAAAACCATTTTAAAGTTGGGTTTGTTTTTTAATTTGGTATTTCGCCTAACAACAATATTACTTACATGACGTATATTTTGTGTATTATATTGTTAATATTATATACTCACGTTAAATGTATTTTCTCTTTTTCTCTGTGCCTCGTGCTTAGACAAGGATATTGTTGAATAAGGCTGACAAAATTCGCGCCGAAGAACTGATGCGCATACAGGGGACACTCATTTGGAACATAAGTCCGCTCATGTCCAGCGCCGAGCCCCCGGTCATTTATTCTGTGTCATTGTGGTCAAACCCGTATGAAATCGGATCTCCAGCTAGGCTGCTTCACTCTCAAGAACTATCATTCTTGAAAGACATCCGTTCGGCAATCGACAGACGCGTTGAAAACAAAATAGCCAGTGCTCGACGATTCGCGGTACGTACAATAATATTATTAATTATTATACTATATGATCTTTGGAACATTTTTTACCTAACGGTTTGTTAAATGGTGACCAATTTATTATACATTTCTGATTTCTCACAACTTAAATATTGAGAATAGAAATATGTTCTAGAGTAAAAAATACAAGCCATAGCATGTTACCAGTTAAAAAGTTAGAAACATATATAGATGATAAATGTTCTTAAAAACATAAGACATAACAGGTATTATAACCCAATTCAAACTATATTTAAACATTTTTTTTTCGAAATGGCAAAAATTTACTTACACTACCATCGATTTGAGAGCTCAAATACGATAACGGATCACGTGGTATCTACAATATACACTATTACATTATTATTATAGAGTATAGACTATAGTGTTGTCAATTGTATAAATAATAATCAACACATAAATACATAATGTGGAACGATGGTGTACTATGTTACAGGTAAGAGTGCGAAACCACGCCAAAATGGTGGACTGTTATCTGACTACGTACTACAACCACAAGTCGTTCTTCGCAAACCGGAAGACCGTCAGCGACGACATCATAGAGAACCCACAGAACTATCACATCTACGAGGGCCTGAGTACGCTGACCAACATTTCTAGATACGACCTGCCAGATCCAGATGTATACCGGGACTTCTTCCGGCTGAACCCCGTGTACGAGTTCAAGCGGTTGTCCGATACGTGCACGTACTTCCGGGGTTGTCCGATCAACAAGCTGGACATGGCAATTGCCTACGATCTGCCCGACCTGATCGGCCAATACAAAAGACAAGAGGAGCAACTGGTGACGGAGGTGCCGTGAAAATGCCACGACGGTGTTACCCGAAACCCATCGTATATACAGCTGATATAACATTATATCATATAATAATATATTGTTTAATATTCAAATATTATTGTTTTATCAATTATTTATTCGTTTTCGTGTAGAATGTTTTTTTTCTCTCTCTCTTTGATTTATATTAAATTGTTAGATATTAATATGTGTGCGTCCAAAAAATTGTTGCCATTTCTAAATGAACAAAAAAGTACATCTTAAAAACGTGACAACTGCATTAATATGATATAATATCACGTATATTGTATACGGTCATCAGCGACGTGCATTACACTATAGACACCTCATTACAAATTATAGTACTTATATAATAATATATATTTTATATTATTATAATTTACCTATAGTATCGTGGTAGTCTTTTTTACGACCGTCCTTTACGTTTATTAATTTTCGTTAATTATTATTCTCGATGGAGTAAGATCTCGGGACCAGTGACGTGTTTAAGATGCTATTTTTAAGCTGGAAATGTGAATCCAACTGAACGAGATGCGTATACCAAATAGCGGCTTCCAAAACAGTTTGCTCATATAATTGGCAATTGTACCACTCGGTGGGAGGTAACGCATGTACATTGTATATTAATATACAGAGTGGCTTATGGTGTTTTCCCAATATCTCGCACGATCAGCACACGGTAAAACGGGAAAACACCATGGCCCGCCCTGTGTACATTGTGATTTGTGTTACACAAATGTTTTATGTCAACAAACAAATTTGCGAAATATTACTATGAATATTATGTTCAACATGACGTGTATTTATCATCCATAAAGTTTAAGAAATATTTAATTAGAAAATCTTAATTGTGTTTTTTTTTCCATTATTATACAATAACTGCGGCAGGTTTACTTTGTACCTTACGCTAAAAATCGCTAATAGCACTACCGTCTGTATAATATTATCTTACAAAATAGTCCAAACAGCTAGGAAATTTAATTATTGATTATATATATACTGCTTACAATTTACATGTAAGTAATATAGGTTATATATTAATATTATAATCACATGTTTATGAATAATATTAAGAACTTTAAAAACATTTTTGTGTTTACTTGTATATATTTAATAAAGTTATCAAACGGTTAATATGATATGAAAATTCATTGTAAAAACATATAAAAAATAGTGCAATTACTAATGAAATAATATGTTCATTATTCGTGGAAAATGTGTTCTACATTGTCTCAGTATTCAAACATTTGATGTGTATATTATATGCCGATATTAAAACTCTGTACCTACATCTGTAGTACCATTATTTGAACATACATAGGTTATAGGTATTTGAGAGTATTATAAATATATAATACAGTCACTGTACCTACCTATACTTGGTTACAAACCTACATCAAATAATTATTTTTTGTGTAAAATATTTCATAAACCTATGACCAAATAATTTTTCATACTGTTAAAAATTGTACATCGATATTAATCTTCCTTCGCTACTATTCCTAATTATAACTATGAGTAATATAATAGAAAATATTAGTATTATCGGATTTTTTTAAATCTTCAAATTGTTCATAGACCATAATGGATATTTTTTTGTGTGACTTAGCTAGGCATCAAGGCATGCAGCTGCAAGCATGTCAAATTAATGATATCTAATTTGTCATGGTTTTAAACTTTCAAAGTGTATATCTGTTCAGTGCCTTTTATAGGGGCTGTCCCTTGGGCCAAGGCCCATAGTGAAATTTCAGGTTCAATTTAACATTCCATGTATATTACTTTATGTATATATACTATATCACATAACCATGCCCTGTGACTCGAACGTCATTTTTATGTCATACCCATAATTTAAGATATTACTAACTTAAATCGTGGTCGTGTCAAAGGTTTTTCGTTTTCTAAAAGTCTGCATGAATTATGAATTATTAAATTTAGAGTTTAAATTGTAAACCTACATCAATATTTGCTGATAAGTGATCAGAGACGGATCCAGAAAAAAAAAAGAAAAAAAGCAAATCAGTACTTAATAAATTTAAAGAACATAAAAACTATAGTAGAGTTGCTGTAAATAGCTGGAACCTAAAATAATAAAAAGAGAAAAAAAATAACCAACAGTTGAATAAATTTAATACAATATAATCAAAATAAGAATCCAGCATTTTCGAAAAACTTCAATATCATAATAATAGTGAGTCTTGAGAAGGAATTAAGAATAATTGTTGATTTTAATGTCATATTATTCTCATGTAAGAACGAAGTAATTTTGATCGGGAAACAGGAATAGATGAAATGTAAATATTGTATAGATACATATATAAAAACGAATTTTACATAAAATCTATATTTTACCTAGCAATTAATATACAGGGTGTTTCTGAAGTGTATGAGGTAATTAGTATACGCATACTCACTGTGATGCCACAATGAAGATTTTCTTGGAATTTTTTTTTCGAACTTCAAAATCTGAGTTTTTTAAAGTTATTTTTAGAATATTATCTCGAATGTAAAAATAAACACTCTAATCGTATTTTTTGCAAAATTCTAATACGAAAAGAGAAATCACATCATTTTTGCACTTGTCGCGCGTTTTTCACGCTCTAATCGCCGACTAAAAAAAAAGTCGTACGACACATCGATTTGTACGAGAGTACTGCAAGATAACCAGTGATGATAATTATTTGTTGCCATTGATAATATACGATTAATTAACACATTGTTTTACATTGTCGACTAATAAAAAATATGAAATAATAACAAAATTTATGTTAACAAAGTATTAAACGATCAAATTTACTAGCATACATTTGTGTCATACCTTTATTAAATAACTTTTAACTTTATAAAGTTATAATAGTTAGAGATAAAAGGAACTACCTATTTGTGTGTTTTTATCTTTTATCTATGGTTTATATTGAAATTCCAGTTTTTGGATATCATAGTACCTAACATAATTATTTTGACTCGATAAGATAAACATTTTATTTTACACTATTATTATTATGTACGTTCTGCCCATAACCTAGCTAGCTGCAAGATTTCCATTTCCATCAGCCAAACCTAGGCACAATTAATAAACAAATAAATAGTTTGTTTCGTATAACATGTCTGTTACGACAACTTAGAATAGTTACATGGGTATGTTTTGTGATAAAGTAAAATACCTAGAGTTTTTAATAAAATAAATCACCAATAGGAAATATTAGTTAAATACTTAAACTAATTAATTAAATTAACTAGTACTTACCCTACATAAAAACCATGTCTGCATATTCAATGTTTGTGTACGCCATTGCGCAAAAATCAAAATTTAAATTAAAAACTTTAAATCTTAAAAATAAATATTAATATTTTAAATGTCGTTCAATGACAAGTATTGGACTGAGCTCTAATCAGACCAACTAATGTTCATCATGTACTCTGTAAGGAGTACGGTCAATTCAATATTAACGATAAAAGTATAATATTAAGTTTACTAATAAATAATAATAATAATAGTATAAAATAAAATGTTTATCTTATCGAGTCAAAATAATTATGTTAGGTACTATGGTATCCAAAAACTGGAATTTCAGTATAAACACACAAATAGATAGTTCCTTTTATCTCTAACTATTATAACTTTATAAAGTTAAAAGTTATTTAATAAAGGTATGACACAAACGTATGCTAGTAAATTTGATCGTTTAAAACTCTGTTAACCCTAGTCCCTAATTTTGTTATTATTTCATATTTTTTATTAGTCGACAATGTAAAATAATGTGTTAATTAATCGTTTGTTATCAATGACAACAAATAATTATCACCACTGGTTATCTTGCAGTATTCTCATACAAAACGATGTGTCGCACGACTTTTTTTTTGTTGACGATTCGAGCGCGAAAAACGTGCGACAAGCGCAAAAATGATGCGATATCTCGATTCGTATGAGAATTTTGCAAAAAATACGACTAGAGTGTTTATTTTTACATTCAAGATAATATTCTAAAAATAACTTTAAAAAACCCAGATTTTGAAGTTAGATAAAATATTCTAAAAAAATCTTCATTGTGGCATCACAGTGAGTATGCGTATACTAATTACCTCACACACTTCAGAAACACCTGTATATTAAATACGATTGCGCAATCTCTATTTACATTGATCATGTTAAATATTATAAATTTATAACCAAGCGACTCCATCAAAAATTTATAATTATATGTTCTAGATAACGTACAATACTAATAATAAATTACCAGATATATATATATATAATATTATTATTAATAATATGACAAAATGGGCGTTGATAATAACACATTTTATACCTATGTACCTTTACAAATAAACAACAACAGTTTGAAATCGGACAAGTACGAAAGGTCAATCATACAAGTAACCTAACCCAATTTCGATACGACATGACAGTAAGTCAACCTTCTCTAACTCAGTATGTTTCCAGCAGCTTGTCTCTATCAGCATTCACAGTCTTTGTTCACATACACAATGGTCAACGAGCATCAACTTAAAATAATTATTGACCTTTAATTCTTATTGTGAAGAATGTGAAGTAATTAACTAATATAGTGGCTTACATGCAAGAACTGTGTTTATTTTTTCAACTACCAAAATAGTTATACGTTATACCAGACGAGAAATTATATTAATATATATTAACAAATCATAAATAACAGGATTAAAACTAATAAGTAATAACAGTTAATAAGGCACGCAGACTCAGATGTACTAAAAAGTTATCAAACTCGTGTTTGCAAACCTGTGTTTACGATCCCGATTAATCGTAATAGTGTTACGTGGTAACAATTAAGTTATTGTCTATCACTACTGGTATACGGTGTGTAATTGTGTATCCGTAGTGATAGATCAGTATACCAAACGGGGAAATGAGAGAGGATTTGGATGTTCGACAAGACAAGTAGTTATACCGAGTATAATTTAACGTATATTTTGAAATGTAAAATAAAATGTAATATAAAATATTTTACTTTACCGATGACCTGGCAGCCAGTGGCGTATATATCATTTTTGTATGGGGGGGGATAAGAAAAAAAAATTTAAACCTAGTTACTGTTACCTAATATTTGTGCATTCAAATAATAAATAACAAAACATATATATTTAATATATTTTATTTACAAACTACAAACAGTTCAAAATTATAGTAAAAAATTTAATTTTCTTTTTTTTTTTGGCTAATTCATCAATTACCTCTTTGGTACTGATAGGAATATTCCTATGCACAGCCATTAAAGTAAGGCCGTTAAGTCGCTCTAATCAAATCTATTCAAATTTTAAAGACAATATTTAGTTAAGTAGGTACGGAACAACATACGAGGTACAACTCACGGAATGTCGATTTTAATACAAAATTGATAATATTGTAGTGTAAATACGTAAAACCCATCCGTGCATTATATAATAATAATTTCTTAAAACATTTCCAGAAGTAGGAAAATGTATTATTAGCCACACGACCATGCGGGCGTCTTCGTCGCAGCGTTGTTATCGGCGGCGGTGGCGGTGGCACGGCTGAACAGACAAAGTCTATTCTTGTAATAATTATATTTATGAAATAAAAATTTACAAAAATCCTAGCTTTTTTTTTTTTTCCTTGTGATCTTGGAATGCCCTAACGGCTAACACTAAAAACACTATTTTATATAATTCTTTAAAAGTTATATGGGGGGGATCTGACCCCCACATCCCCCCCTTGTATACGCCCCTGCTGGCAGCAACAATACACGGAGCAAGTGGTGAGACGAGACTAACTTCGTTCGGCTGACGAATGTCAAGCAGGCTGAACGATTATTATAAATTTTGTTAACTATACAAAATAGTTACACATATATAGCTTTACTCCGTGATATTACAGAATGGATAAAAGATGACACGCACATCTATGATATCTATATGTATATTGTATAGTAATAGTATATAATACTATACGTAATATTATAATTATAAAAATATGAAAAATGTAATGGTGTTCCACACCATTACAATAGTATATAGGTTATTGTTATTATATAGTAATTGCAAGGTCAGGACTGTAGGTACTCTTAACCCCGTCAATTAATATCCATTAAAAATACTTAACTACAACAACTTAGTTAATAGCCAATAGGTATATTATTATAAGGTCATATCTCATCAATAGGAACGTACATTTTTGATTCATTACACTGCTATGCTTGACTAGTGATAAATATTAAACAATTATAGTAAAAATAATATTTTTATATACCTAAGCCACTGTATCTGTCTTATCTACTGTTAAGTGCACGGCGTGGACGAATTCTACATCACATTCATGGTGTACGGTAAAGTGTAAAGTACTAAAGTTAGTAGTTACCACCAATCACCATTAAATATATTCTTAGATATCTTTAATCGAAGTAGTTAGTAGTTACGGATACACCCACAGTGCTGCACATAACCGATTTTTGTGCCATTATTTTCAAAACGCGTACCGTTATATAATTATTTTCAAATTAGTTTGACCTTTGGTAATTTGGTCTACTATTCTGGTGTCATCTTTAATCGTATTTTTAATAAAATATACAATCAAAAGTACCTAGGCTTAGATCACAATATCCATAATGGATTAATGTATGATATTTTTGATATCATATAAATATGAAATATATATACAATAAATATATTATTATATATCGACCAATGTCTTATCAGTTGTTAATAATTATTATCACATAACTATCATGAATCGGCTTATCACTGCCCTTTTTTATCACTTCCCGAAAAGACCGCGATAATCGTAATGTCTAATGAGTAATGAGAAATGAGTAGTTACAATAATATATTAAATTTGTCATTCTTTGTCGATCCTTCGGCGTCTTGACGTTCTGTGTATAAATATAATATTATTTTAGCTTGCATTTAAGACGTTTAGGAAGTTTTTATTTCTTAAAACTCCCACATCATGTACGAACTTCTAAACGATATTTTGCAATGCATCGAATTCGTGTCCAGAAGCGTATTGCCTAACTTGGCAGAAATAGAAGAAACGTGGGGCCGATGCTCTCAATTATACGCAGGTTTTGTGGAAAAAATCAACGTGGCTTGGAGGTAAAGTATCATCGTGGTTTAATATTTGATCTGTAGAGTTACTGTTTAAGTTACTATAGAACAATATATTATTCTGTGCATAGATTTGTAATTTTTTAAAGTTTAATTTGGTATTATGACAAAGTATTGCTACATGCTCAGGCGACTTCGTCTTTTAGATAATTATAATATTTGAATCATCTTGTAATATAACTGCAGACCCTGGGAAAGCAATAACTATTAATAGTAGCTATGACAATTTTAGCATTGACCACAGATGGCAAAATGGACCAACTGCAGAGAGTTATGATATGAGGGTAAGATCTACGCTGTGATAAATAAAGTAATAAAAGTATTATTTGACAATACGGCAATATAGTTTTTACTGAAACCCTGCAAAGATCTAAGGATAAGCCAGCACGGGTACACAGCAACATGCATGGGACAGTGGGTATTATATTCTATACTGAGGTCTTAGACAATTGCTACGCAAGAGACAGCTCTTATTGTAACGGACAAAGACAAATAGAGAGATAGGTCTATATAGGAGCCCTGGACGGCCCATTTTCAGAAGTGATATTCCTGAGCTAGTACTTCTACGTCAGTCGTTTATTTAAATTAATTATTTGGACTTAGAATACTTTTGATCGGTTATATTTTAAACTTGGACAATAAACGAGTCAAATCGTATATTTTCTAAACACTTGTAAGTATTAACTGATCTGAATATTTTATTTCTCCATAATAATTGCCTAAATTGTATTGTCGATAGTGGAGCATTTTAGTAAATAATACAGTTTTATTATACGGTTCTACCAACAAATTTGTGAATCTAGATACAAAGAACAACAAGAACGGTTTATTATTACCGTAATGTCAATGGAGGCTACAGAAGCATGACAAAAAATTGTATAAGTGGCTTGTGTAGGAAGAAAATTTCAGTCTTGTGCAAAATCCAGCCCTATAGGGTCATAAGTGCAGCCTCAAATAATGAAACAGGACTGAAATTGCTCATTTTCTGTCATTTCCATATGACATAGCAAATTAAAAATAAAATTATATCCCAAAAATAATATTATGTTAATTTTTTCAGAGCTCCTTTGGATACAGATTTTTTGGAAGAGTTCCCTGACATAAGAATTAAAGTGGCAAAAAAACTTGAACGGCTTGGAAATGACCAATTATCTGTCTTACGTTTACTTATGTAAGTATTATCTATATCAGTTACATTATTGTTTTTACAAAAGAAAATAATCAAGTTTGTACTTTAATTGTATTTTTTATTAGAGGACGTATGTCTAACATAAATGAGTGTCTCAAAATTAAATTGGATAGAATTAACAACAGACTTGAGCAAATATCGTTTGAAGAACATAATGAGCTTAAGCATTCAGTCCCCGAACATGTCATGTGGATAGAAGACTGTTGGACATGTCTCCATTGCTTGTATCCTTTTCTAATTTGTATACAACCATAAGCAGGTATTGGAAGGTACAAAAATTATTGGATACTAATGTACTATCCAGAATGTTACAAATACTCAATATTGCTAAAATCTCATCTTAAAGCATAGGAATCAAAATAATAAAACATTTTTTTTAGATCTTGATGATATTACTTTGATCTATAAATAATTACAGCGAAACATTCATACTATGAAGTGTCATGGGGAACATAAATAAAATATTAAATGGAATTCAATTTTTTTTACTTAATCAAATTCATATTTCAAAAAGATCCTCTTTATCAATATGAATATTTTATTTAAATTTAATTTATAATAATAACATTAATGTATACTATTATTTTTAAACAGCAACATCTTCATAAATTCTCAAATAAACTTTTAATGTTAGAACATTGAAATTTTCCCCAATTTTTTCATACATTTGGAACTTCAATAGATATTTGAACTATCAGTACCATCAATCTAGGTATCTTGTTTGCATTAACCATTGAAGTTGTAAAATATCATTTTTTAAATAATATTTAATATTCGGTAGCAACCAAATACTATTGTAACTTATACAGTACTAGAAATAAAAAGGTTTTCATAATAAATAATTTGTTTTATGTTAGAAACATCAGATTTGTTAAACTTAAACAAATTTTATCTTAAATCATAATTCATAAGTAATAGTGTAGGTCATGATTTCCAAGTATATTTTGTTTGGTAGACAATTTTGTTCTATGGAGGTTTTCACAGTATTTTTATTATTCATTTTTAGTTTTGAATAATATACAGAATTAATTACTTGTACATAATATATTGCATAATCTTACAATTTTCATTTAATGAGTGTATATTTTTATCCATAGTAGACGTTATAATACAATTGTTGCAAATTTTAACCAAAGGTATTTTTGCCCTAAGACATCCCCCCTTGCCCACTAATTAGAATTATTCACTGCAAAATGTAATGATATTAGAATTTTTCCTAATATAATAAAAATATATTCTCGGATAATAAAAATTATTGTTGTTATTTGGTATAATAATAATTAATAAAACAATTGATTTGATCATAAATTAATATTTTCATCTTGACACTTTCATAGAATTCAACACTGTTTATCTATAGATACTTACATGAATGTATTTTTGTGATACTCATTTTATATTTGTACTGCTACAAGAAAATTAAAAAATTAATTATTCAATAAAATAATAAAATATAGGTAAGACAAGCTAAATACTAATTGAATTTTAAGTCATATAATTGTTTTAAATATTTAACCATCTATGTCATTATCTGTAGAGCAATCAATATTATAATTAAATTATCATATTCAAAAATAATATATACGAGTACAACCAGAAAACTGTCAAAAATGAAATATATTGTGAGGTTTTTTAAATAAAAAAAAAACTAAAATTACATCCCTTAACTTATTAAAACTTATAGAAGTATGGGTTGAAATGGTAACTAAATAAAATTTGAGTGTGTATATTATGTGTAATTTATATAGTTCTCTATATATCAAATTGTATATTATATTAGTTGGATTAGTTCGTAATTTGACATGTTATTTCGTCCACATTTGAAACTTAAAAAAATGTACTTATATATTTTTGGATATTTTGGTTACAGAATAACCTACTTGCATGGAACTTTGTTTTAAATTATCAAACCCTTACCTAAAAAAGTTGAAAATGTTCAACTCTAATTATTTATACATTTTTAATCTTATAAATATTGTCAACATTTGAACTTAAAATGCTTAAACATTATCTTGATTTTTTGAATTTTGTCAAAATTCTTAGTTTAAACACTCATCAAAAAATATTGTGGACTTACTCTCAACTTTTTTTTAATTTTCACCAACAACAACTTACAAGGAACCTTGTATTATGTTAACAAGTTTTTTGAAAAATTTTTATTGGCATTAATTTTAAAAGAACAAATAATAATCGAAAATTATATGCCTATAAAAGATAAATAGTTAAACACAAGTCAAAATATTTTGAAAATTATGCGGTGTATAGAAAATGCTAACACAAACATTCACTGAAAATTTCATGTATGTAATGAAATTTTTTTAGAGATTGACTAAAAACCCAAATCAATTTTTCAAAAACTAGTTTTGCTTAAAAATTCCCGTTTTTCCTTAATTTTTTGTTTGTTTTTCCTGTCACTTTTGAAAACTATTGGGAATTTTAGATTTTGATCTCCCGAATGCACCAACTAGATACACGTTCCTACCAGAGAAGTTACTTTGCTGTTGAAGAAATTCTATACATTTACACTGCCTCAAAACCGTAATGACAGACACAAAAAAAAAAACATACATCATTGTAAAATCGATGCATTCATCGCTCCACTCGGAATCTAAAATACATGTTAATCAATTTGGAATAAAAGTATTTAGAGGTATAATTTAATATAGGTCTCAATTTTGTGATGATTGGTTGATCATGCATTACATTAAAACCCATGTATGAAGTAACCATATCACTGGCTATCTTTTGACTGTATGGATGAAATTTCAATTGTTAATGTTAATTATATCTACGAAGTAAACTCCTTCATAATTCTTATTTTTTTAATATATATTTGTATAACACATCATGGAGAAAATTACTATATACTAACATTTTATATTACAATTTTAACTTTAATTTGGATAAATATAGAATACATTTTTACCTTGGATGTTTCTGTATTCTAACATTTTTTTCTCATGTTGGTAGTATACACTGAATTACGTTTTTATAAGATAATATAATTTAGAATTAAGTTACAGAAAAATTACTTTCCTCAACTAACATACTTAGATACATGCAACTTGATTTTGCAATGATGTCATTAATTGTATTAGATGAAGAATCAGCATCAAATTTGGTTAAAGCAATTCGTCAAGATGAAAAGGGTAAATCAACCATAAGAAAGTCACAGATGTATATGCAAAGCTGCTTAAGTTTAATTAAATTTATATCAAATAAAACAAAGATTAAACAGCTATGCATATAAATTTGATTTTCCTATTTATGCTTTTCATATTTTTTCTATAAAATATATTGTGAAAAAATAAATAAATTAGTTTCTTAAGACTAATTTTATTAATTTTATTAATTCTATTGTTTTCATCAATAAAAACAGTCTTACACTAAAACAACTTAAAGACTAATACATTTAAAATATAACTGAGAGGTGATTAATATTTTGTACCAGATTTTGTGTAATTCAATTAATTATTCTTCTTTAATTGCATTGAAATCATTTCTTTTGATCCAGCATAACATATTTATCCATACAAACGAACACATTCCAACATAAATTACACGAGCAGCTGGCGGCACCAACATGAAATTAATAGCTTGTGCTGGCAACCAAAACACACAACTAGTTTTGAATGTAGGAATGAACTTCTGTTTGCATTCTTCAAGTAAATCTTTTTTCCCTTCTAGGAGACTCATTGCTATAAAAGTATAAACAATTATTATCACAATATTAAGAGTAGTAATTATGTTCATAAGTATATGAGATTACAAATTTAACTTACTAACGAAAAATACTACATAAAATGGTGGAGTCATGATAAATTGATCGATTAATAATTTTTTAACAATAATTTTTGGTGCCGTACCCACAAATGCTTTGTCCAGCCATTTATACCTAAAAATAATATTATTTTATTAATCATAAAATACATAGCTTATAAACCACAATGGTTTTAAAAAATGTCTTATAGATATTACCAAAAGTATAAAATGTTTGGACTAATTAAAGTGCCCACTATGGCATATCGTCCTAATACATCTGTGTCAATCGGCTCTGGTGGTTCTGTTTTATTCTATGAAAATTGATATATTCAATGTTTAATATTGGTAAAATACAATGGCATTGATGTAGTACTTTACCAATATCCGTTTGGTCAATATTTGTTGTGAAAATTCCGCTCCAACACACATAGTACCGTAGACCGTTGAATTAGCTATCATTGGATATTTTCTAAAAGTTTCCTTTACTACTCTTATTATTCTTGACATTTTTTAAATATTTTATTTTTCTGAAATTAAATTATTTTAGCAAATCGAATTTATTTAAGACTGTGTATACATTCTACTCACCTAGAATTATTACAAAATTGGTTATGAAACAGTACAAAAACGTTCAGAGTGGTCTATAACTTTTACTTATTATACATTTAAATAGTCTAAAAATGTAAAGTAATTTTTACATAATATGGTTGCACCGAATTGGATACTACTGAGATAGCATGTGTAATGTGTACAGTGGTTTTGTTTCGTTTTATAAGTTCCCCCACGTTTTTCATTGGTTTCATTGTGGAGTTCTAGCGCTGATGGTGTTGATTTCGAGGCCAGTCTACTTCATTATAAATTAATGTATAATAATCCACACTTCACAGTAGATATTATTTGACTAGTAGATGAGTAGGTACAAACTTGAAACAATATAATATACGAGCCTATAATAATAATTTATATTTTATATGATCTAATAATAAATAAACATAATAAAACATAAATCAATATTTATATAGGCACTCATTTTAAAGATTCATCTATAATATATTTTGTTACATTAGCAAATTATTAATTATTAATAACAATTAACAACAGATTTGTCCTAATCAATTCTCTGAATTGCCCAATCTAAAATAATAATATTGTGTTAAAACATGTTTACTCAGCATAAATTCCAATCATAATTAATGAATGATTAAAATTATTAGTACGTAATATATGCATTGAATGGTTTAATAACATGATGACACTGACTGTTGAGTACCTAATTTTATTATTAGGTATTATTAATATTATTACTCTTGAGTACCTACCTGGCTACCTATATATATATCCCACTGAAGTTACTACAACTTCAGTCATAAAAACTTCTCATCACAAAATCGCATTGTAACAAACTCAATCGATTGACGCAATGACGCTTCTGCAAAGCTTATAAAATAAACTGTGTGGAAAATGCACACGTGCACCATGGCCCGTAAGTATATAGTACAATACCCACAACATTTAAAAAAAGTTCATCATCCTACACACTTAATGACCGATACCTTCGAAGAAAAAAGTAACTGAGAAGAAATCAAAAGGACGCCCTGGGAAACAATATTTTGAACACATCCAAGAACTCGTAGACTGTAAGTATTTTGATTCACTGAGTAGTGTGGCGTCAAACAGAGGAGTGGCTTCAACGACAAGGCATCGCCTTTAATAATTGATGATGATGAACAATTCAAATTATAATTTGTACTTAGGAGTTAGGAGGAGCGGAGGACGCCACATCCGCATACGTAGTCTCCGTCTTATAAACGCACAACTTACTAAATTGGTTTTCAGCAGTTCCAATGTTGTGTTATAACTTTTGATAACATAGTGAATTGACCAGTGTTTGAAAAAAATGGACGTGCGTTCGTATTTCGTAAACGGTACTCGGCTTTTTTTTTCAAATAAAACGTGAACGTAAGTAACGTTTATATTTTAAATGAATTTGAACAATGTCTAAGACGCTCGAATTTATGTACCGTTTAATAAATATAATTGTAAAAACATTGTTTAATAATATTACGTAATACGTGTAAAATAATATTTTTCTTTTATAATATTTCCAATGGCTATGTAGGTGGGAATTTGTTTAAATACGAATTATGAAAATAAAATAGTGAAAATCCAGTGCACACAGCTCGACTCACTACAACAATAATATTACATATGATATTCACGATATTGTATATGAGTATTTGAATGATTTATAAAAATAAAATATAAAAATGTATACGAACGACTAAATGAACGTGTTCATTTAAACAAAATGCGAACATGAATGCGTGAACGAGTACAATTTTTTAGTGAACATTCCGAACTGCAATTAAAATATTATTTAACTTAAAGGTAAGAAGATAATCTGTGTTTTCGCCTGACGTTTTTACGATATTTTAATTTGTGAGTGATAATTTAGCGAGTTATGAGCATTTTTAAATTGTAATTTTGTACATACTTGCTTGAAAATTAAAATATCATAAAAAGCCAATTTGAAATCAAGGGCGATATTCTTACCTTTAAGTTTGATTGATGATTGGTCAATTCATCCTATTATCAAAGGTTACCTACGGACTACTACACAAAATTAAAAATTATAAATAGGTTATTATTAAATATTTAAAAATATCGGGTATAAGTATCTACCTAGTAGGTACTTATTTGTGACAAACGAAAAAATATTTTTATTGAACCAAAGAAAAATCTTTAGTAAAGTATTTCGAAAGATACCATTCGAATACTTATTTTATAATTATAACTGACTTGGTACTCAAAAGTTATTTGGAGCTGAAAACTAAAAAATATACTGGAAGCTTTTATAATAATATTTAACCCATTCATTTTTCCACCTTTTTATTAAATTATAGACTACCCAAATAATAAAATTATTAAAATTTATACTAGGTATAAAACAAGAAGTCTAAACTACACTCGAGTCACGAGCAATAAGTAAAAGTTAATATTCAACTTTAAAAATAAAACTTAGTCTAATTTTAAATCTTTTTGTATTCCCCATATATTTGTCACTAATACAGATCATTTCATATTAGGTACCTCATAACAGTATTATAATGATTTAAGATATAACATATCGGAAGTACCTAGCTAATAGATTTACATAATAATTAATAATGTATTATAATATTTAATTAAAATTATTATCAACGACTTGTAAATTATATTTTAAAACTGTCCAAAATGTACAGTTATCCGTAGACACACATAGGAAAACTGTGCAACTAGTAACTACTTAAGTCATAACCACGATTATACATCTTTAATCGTGATCATAATTCAAAACTTTAACTTATTAATCATTATATAATATTATTAATGTCTATGGTATATTGGTATGCCTAAGTCTATAACTCCAAAGTTTTTTTTTGCACTCCTGCCTGAACTCGCACTGTACAAAATTTTGAATTGTGCAGTAATCATACGATTTTCATTTACACATACAGTTGGTTTGCAGAAACTTAAGTTTATACGATCAGTTAACGAAGTTCAACTGAACGTGTAAAATCACCTCATACGTATACCTTTGAAAAAGTAACAGGAAATCCGATTGGATAGTGATAGTCTAACCGAAATATTGGTCCTCGTAAAATAATATTATCAATGGACTTAGAAGAATAAGACCAATTTAATTTCATTAGTGACAATTAATATTCTACAAACACATACATATTAGTAGGTACCTACCTAATTATAAGTAGGTATACTACCTACCTATACCTATTAATACATAGAACCTAAATGTAAAAAATAAAAATAATAAATGGGTGCAAAGGGCCCATATTACTGATGCCATCACATTTGTTTGACCCCCCCCCCCCCCCCTTCGTAAGAGTTATTCCCGAGTTTATGACATATTTTACATATATTTTGTAGTTTCGACCTGTAGAGTTATTGTAAGTGAGCAGATTGAATTTAAACTGATTAACATATCATCATATTATGTGTGGGGAAAATGTTTTATTGTTATATAACGTCCAGGATATGGAAATCGCATTTGACGGTAACCGCTCTCCGAAACGCATATATATACGTGCACTAGGTATATTATTAATGTATATAGAAACACGTGATAATCTAATCGCCCCGGCAATATTATTATTCAAGGATTAATTCATTAAAAATTCAAAAATGTTTTTAGGTTCGCAACTGCCGTAAGTGTACGAAATGATTTTATATAGACACGCCTAGTCCCGTTTGTTACAGCCGTACCGCAGTCTGCAATAGTGCAATCATTGAACGAAACACTTCAAAATAAAATAACTATTTATGGTATTTATTGTTTATGCAATTATTATTTATTTGCCTCATTTGTTATTGATAGATACTTATTAACCACGAACACACATACACACGTCATGACACAAAATAGAATGGGAACTCAATAATAACAATAAGTAATGTATTGATAACAATATTATACAAATATACAATTATAGGTATGTATATTATAGTGTACAAGTACCTATGATTTATGAATAAAAGCTAATCAAGCCATGGTATCCTATATGTAAATAGACAGATAGTTACACACAGCTCAACAGTTGCAAGCTGCAGCTGACCATGTAAAAAGATGGTGGATGACAAGGGTAGGGTCGATTGCACTTATTTTAGTCAAACTGCACTTGGGTTTAAAAAGGGGAATGGTCAAACTGCATTCGGGCTCAAAAAAGGTATTCCAACAAAAATATCATGCATTTGAAGGGATTAAACGTTTAAAAAACACTTTTTCCCTTTCCACTTACATGCTTCGAACTGACAATGATTTTAATCATTGGCGTAGTTAAAAATGATTGTTTTATACATACCATTGTTCATTATGTTAATATAATATTATATACATATATTGAATCATCCAAATCAAATATTATTATTGACATTATTATAACTTTTTTTAAAAAACTAATTTTAATCACAGTAGAACTCCGATTATCCGAACGCCAATCATCCAGGCGTCCAATTAACCGGACGAGAAAAAAACGGCACTTGCCGTTATTCATACACGTGTCTCATAATCGTTTTTAGATTAGATAAAGAATAGGCATATAATATCCATCATTCCGACGTAGGTACATTAAAAATTCTGAAGCTTTTGATGCATTGAATTGGCGTTTAAATGGTTTGAGAGTCAAGAAGAATCGGACACCAGTAATTAAAGCTTATTTTGTTTCAGTTAAATATATAGTAAAATTATTTGTTTATGGTTACGAATTTTAAATTATATTACATATATATGAATAATAAATACATACGTACAATATATTCATACAATTATATAACTTGATATATCATACGTAAATCATCAGAATATTTGCTTATCCGGACCACCCTTGACATTAATTAGTCCGGGTAATCGGAGTTCTACAACTGTAGTAGTAATGACAAACTGCATAGTAGTAATGACAAACTGCATTCAAAAACTCTAACCCGGAAATACGCTTTTGAGCATAAAAGTTTATACATTTTTCAAGATCTTTTTTTTTTTCTGGTACCAAGTAGTTGAAGGTCTTGTACTCTTGTTTCAGTGTATTCTGCATTAAAATATAACTATATAAGTATCTATTTGTAATTAATTATGTTTTTTTTTTATTAGCTTTTAGTTTTTCTATTACAGCCCAACAATCATATAAAAATAAAACAACATAACTAGAAACAGTGATTAATTGTGTTAAAACATCAGTAAATTCAAATGTACAAAAGTCTATCGTCAGAAATATAATTATCAACTAAATAGTTACTAAATTCTTGAACAACGTGGTTTTCTGGGATAGTTGACATAAAATCATCTGTATAAGATTTTTAGATTATTAACGCCTTTTTTTGAACGAGCGCAGTTTGACCATTACCTTTATTAAACCCATGTGCAATTCGACCATTTCTTTTTAGGTAATAAGTGAATAAGTGCAATTCGACAATTGACATATCGTTCGATCAACGCTCCTATACAAATTATGTATGAAAATATACAGTATACCTATACGGCTATACCTAATGGAATCTTGAATCTGCGTCTACGTATGTTCATATTAATATCAATATTTATGATTGATATTATTTACTGAATCATTTTTTTTTGCATTCTAACTTAACTTGGAATTTTGGCTTTCGACTCATATAATAGTTGCGTGACGTGCACCAAGACGTTTGACAGATAATAGTGCAAAACTATTATAGAAGAGCACTTGCACAAGTATTCATTAATAATATTATTATTAATTAACTGTTAGGCGGTGAGAAAATGATCAAATACATATTATATAGGTGCATCGGGTATCTCGGTTCTAGTAATCTAGTGTAAGTACCTCAGTTCACGGTTAAATCGGCGTCGCACGCACTTCGCTTTGTGGACTAATTCAACTGAGATGGGCAATTACTGGCTGATTGGCAAATCTGGAAGATATAGCACTTGGTGTATCTTCAAATATCAAAGTTCAAACTACTTTATAAGCTTTTCTGTTATCTTTAAGAACAATCTACGACATTCTCGTCAAAATTGGTCGAGTTGTTTTTGTCTTTTGAGTAGGTACCTACCTATTTAAGCTATACAAAATCACATTAATTATTACATAATACTAGAATACTACTACAATTGTTGATTTCTATCGTGAAACTTGAAATCCTTGTGTGAGAATCATCTGTTTAAAATTCGAATTTCTGAAAATCCTTTCTTAGTCTCCACTATTATTATAAAGAGGTTAAGTTTGTGAGGTTTTAGGGGGTAATCTCTGGATCTACTGAACCGATTTTGAAAATTATTTTACCAATAGAAAGCCACATTATTTGTGAATGTCATAACTAAAAATAGACCAAAAAATGAAAATAATTTTTCGTGATAGTCGGATTTGCACAGCAAGTCAGAGAAAAAACGGACGAACGAAAAAGTTTCTTACGGACGCTGCCTTAACGATGAGAGATAAATTATTGAGTTCTTGAGAAAAATTGTAGAATTTGATAATGGCATAATGCCTAGAAGAATGTCAGCAACAGCATATTATGTCTAACTTTTATATTTAAGTCACAAAAAATGGTGATATATATTATATAATACATATATACATAAATCAATCCCTATTTTCCTTGGTCACGGCATCACAAGACACAAGTAAAGGGCTGGACCGATTTTTCGGAATAAATATATATACAAGTAATTAATATTACTTTTTTGTAATATGTGTTATTGTCAGGAGAAACCTCTTATGGAATAAAAAATTATGAAAGTTGCACAAAAAATTAGTTATTTATTAAAATACACGAGTAAATTGTACATATTGTACGGCACGGCGGACAGCGTGTTTCCAGCTACCTGTAACCTGATCTTCGGTTAGATATGAATTATGAATTTTTCCGAGAAGTAAAATTCCACAATCTATACTTAATTTTTTAGTAGAAATTATTATTTTTTCGTTTTTTCTTTGTCATTGGTTAATCGGGCAGATCAGGCATAATGTAAGCATTATATATGTGGCAATTGCCTACCAAGGAGGCTGAGTTGCACTGATAACCGCTCATCGGCGTGTCTTTATAGACAAAATAAAAAATAAAATAAAAATAAAACACATTATTCATATAGAGTATGCACCTAGCGGTGGTCGCCATTCGCCGCTGGTGGATTGCCAACCTGATAATATACTGCTCACATAATCACAATCGAGTATTCGAGTCTCATACAGAGTTGCCATTTTTAACGGCCAACGAAGTGCACGAAATCAACTATATAATAATTATGACAGTATTTCTAGAACTTCTTTATGGTACAAGCTCCAAAGTAATTACAGGGATTTGAGGTACCTGTCTAATCTAGTATCTAGACAAGGAAGAGATAATATTTTAAATAAAATCCTAGCAAGTTATTCGATATTTTTCTTCTATTGAAGGAAAATCTACGTATCATAAATATGTATTTGTTAACGAGTAACAGTGACAAGTTGTCACTGACAACGAACACCTTAGCCGTTAGTTTAGTTTATCTTTAATTACATGAAGCGTTCGGAGAACTCACTCACACTAGTGATCAGTCACTACACAGGCACACATCACTCATGATGGATATTTTAAGGTATTGCTTAAATCCGACCACTTATAAATGGTATGGTTTGCTTTCAAAAGTCGAATTATTAATAATATTACGTAATAATATAATTTTTTTCCCGTTCTCCGAACAGCACGCGATAACGAGTGGCCGTGTATTCTTCGAAAATAAAAACTCGACGGCAACGGGATTCCCTGTAGGAAAACGAGCTACAACGACGGCCGTACATACATAATATTATCGCGAAAAATAATAATCCGAGTTGGCAATTGGCATTATATGAAAATTATTTTTTTATAATCGCGCGAATGTCGTCGTCACTCGTCGAGTACATTACCGAAATCCCGTGTAATAATATTATTTTGAGATGACAGATAACACATTAACACTACCAATATTTCTACGTTGTATAGAAATATGTGTACTTAGTACATTGTGTATTTGTGTTTTGTGTATAGTGTATAGGTACCTACTGATTGAACCGGTGCGACAACGGCACGTGCAACTACTGCCCGGAAACGGACGACACCGGCACCGCAGAGCGCAAGTTGTTCAGATGCCTCAGACGGCACGGCGATAGAAGAAGAATAACGGAACTCCTGAGAAGGGCTCCGGAACCAGCAGACGTCGAAGAGATTCTGTGCGGCCCACTGCCGGAGAGCCTCCCCGCAGACCTGAACGCCAAATCACGTCTGCTGGCCCAAGCATCGCTAAATCGCTCGGAATTCGTGTTAAATGATCGACCGCATCCTCGCGCAAAAAGAAGCGGACGAACGGGAAGAACAGGCACGGGTCTAACCACCTCGCTCGCGAAATCCGCGAGAAGTCGGAGGTGCCACCGACCACGACTCCCCTCTTCTTCCACTATGGCACCACGGGTGGGAAGACGATCACGGCATTCCGGAAGTCTAGAACGTGACCCGAGGCCGGCTGGCTAACAGCAACCAAAAAAAACATGACACCAGCAGAAACGTAATTTAATGTAAGGGGGTAAGTCGGGGGATTGTCCCGTCTACCCACGTTAGTATACGTATATATTGACGTTTATTTATTTATTTCAATAAACCAATAAACGATGGCGACGTCGCGGAAGTAATGTGAAAGCAGTCGCCGCGGCGCCGTCGGTTCAAACCGGAAAAAAAAAAAGGTACCTACTGATATAGTGATATGCCTCATAATGCGTAGGAACCCATACGGCTATACTCACGTGCCAATGGACATTTTGCAATATATTTATCCATATCAAATTATAAAGACTTAATTTGTAGTTTGTACATTGTAAGTTGCTATAGCATAGATTTGTGTATCTACCTTTTGTTATTAACGTAACTTTTAACTATAATTGTTTATTACATATAATATTATACGCATTAAGCTTTTTGGTTTGGTTCGAAAAGTGAATTGGCCGAAAAAGGAAGGGTACCTTTTGGTCTAAAACGGCCATGCGCATCATGTAATCATGTGTGACTGTGTGTGGTATGTCTGTACATAATATTATAGAATCCGAACTTATATCAAATGGTGCAGTGGAGTACTATAGACACAATAATGCTGACGGTGATGATTTTCATACAGCCAATTACGTATATTGACTGCGATGTGATAATATTATATGGAGCGTTCACGTCGTAATTCAATTGAATTCAAAATAATGACCGCGGGACTATCGTTCAATCATATAATTTGCAACTCGATTTGTTGTTCAAATATACTGCACGTGGCACGTCATAGTGCAAAACGAACATTATGTACACAGTGGCGCAATTATCGGGAGTGTTGGGTGTGCAATTCACAGGGGCCCCCGGTTTTTGGGGGCCCCAATTTCCGAGATCTCTTGTATGATATTTCTACTATAATCTGTCTAATAATAATAATTAATTTGTTGCAAATATTGTAAAAGCGCTATGTAGGTAACCATCATACTCATACATTACTTGTTTTGGCGACACAGATAATAATAATACCAATTGTGAATGTGAATCAATTGAATCTGTTGCTCAAGTTGTTGATACTGAAGTAGTTAATGTTACTGATGTTGAACAAATAGCTAATGCAAGATTCAACGGTAAATATAAATTAAATTATTTAGTATAACAATATAACATTTTGATTTTTGTTTTTTGATTTTTTATATAATAGAATTGAATTTAAAGAATGAATATCCAACTGATAGAGTTCATTTTAATGAAAATATCAATGATAGTAATATTAAAAGATCTATTTTGGCTTATGGGCCTTGTCGACCAAATATAGCTTTTCCTAGTAGTGCACATGAAGATGGTAATACCTATAAATTCTCTTCCTACTTTTACTCAATGACATTAAAATCTGGTATTAAAGTTCAAAGATTTTGGTTGTGCTACTCAGTTGGATTGAATGTAGCCTACTGTGAAACATGTTGGTTATTTGCCAACCGACAATATTCTTATTATAATACTGCATGGATTAATGGAGTTGATGACTGGAGACATTTGACATTTAAAATTGATAAGCATGAGAAATCCATTCAACATATTGATGCTGGGAAGATTCGTTATAACTGGGAAAAAAATTTTACAATTGACAAAGTTACAGAAAAACAATATTCAGATGAAGCTACCTATTGGAGGGAAGTACTAACACGAATAATTAAAGTGATTTTATCATTAACAGCTGGGAACACAGCACTCAGAGGACATGAGCATAAAAATAATGATGGTTTAACTACAAGTGAAGGTAAATAAATTAACTTAAATAGTTAAATCATAAATTATTAAGAAATTCTAAATTCTAATGTTATTCGTTTAGGTTTGGCCTTAGGCTTAAAATATTAATTTTTAATTCAATATATTTGTTAGTGAATAAAATATATTCATATTATGAATTTATTAATGTAAAAATATTGTAATTATTAATGTATTCTAAAACAAAAGTACATAATTATTCTATTTTATTACTATAGGAAATTTTATGAGGACCATAAAGCTTTTATCAGAGTTTGATCCAATAATGAACAATTTGTTAAATGATGAAAAAAAAAAAATTAAGTACCTCAGTTGGCAAGTGCAAAATGAAATAATTGAAATATTAGCTACAAGTACACAAAGATTACTCTGTAAGGAAATACAAAATGCCCAGTGTTTTTCAATTATCATGGATTCTACACAAGACATTAATAAAATTGACCAAGTTAGTGTTGTGATTAGATATGTAGTGCTTGACTATGAATTGAGAACATTAAAAATTGAAGAGTCATTTATGGGTTTTTTTGCAATTGATCAACATGGAGCCAAAAATTATGAAAAATTATTGACTGATGTTTTATTGAAATTGGAACTGGATGTCAAAAAGTGTAAAGGACAAGGATACGATGGAGCAGCTGTGATGAGTGGCATTTATTCTGGAGTACAGAAAAGAATTAGAGATATAGTTCCAAATGCATTTTATGTTCACTGCTGCTCACATAACTTGAATTTAGTTATATCAGATGCGGTTAAGACTACTGAAAAAGCTTTACATTTCTTTAATACAGTTCAGGCAATATTTGTATTTTTTAGTTCCAGTGCCCCCAGATGGTCAACTCTTGCTTTCGGAGAAGATGTATCTAGTAAAATTAAACAAAAGGTATTGAAAAAAGTTTGTCCAACCCGTTGGGAATCTCGACATGAGTCAATATATCCTTTAAAAGTAAGATTTAAAGATGTTTTGAAATCCTTATCAAATATATCATTAACCAGTCAAAAAAAAGAGGAAAGGTCTGCTAGTATGTCTTTAAAAAAAAAAAATGGAGTCAATGGAGTTTGTTTTTTTGTTGTGCCTATGGGAAAATATTTTAAAACCATTACATGGCATATCAAAATCTATGCAAAAAAAAAATACAAATTTATTTAATGCTTGCAAAAATTTAGAAGAGGCTACTAATTTTATTACAAGATTAAGATGTGACTATGAAAATGTATTATTAACAACCAAAAACTTATGTAAAAGTTGGGACATTCCAACAAATTATCGAATAGAATGAACAAGATTTGCAATCAAACATTTTGATGAGATTGATGGAGATCGCCGACTAAATATTACGGAAGAAAATTTAAAAATTAAATTATTTTTACCAATTATAGATACAGTATTATTTCAAATAAATTCTAGATTTGAAGGCTTAAAAAAAGTTAATGACCATTTCCATTTTCTACATCCATCAATATTAGTTTCAAGTAAAGAAGAAGAAATAGTCAAAGCTTCTTATGATTTTGTACAATTATATCATGATGACATAAGTCCAGATTTTACACGTCAATTATTATCCATAAAAGAATTGTTTGCAAATATTTCAGGCATAAAATATATAAAAGATCTGGCCATATTTATTTTAGAAAATGATTTTAGCACTACATACAGTGATGTAATAAGTGCATGTCTTATTTATTTAACGTTACCCGTAACAGTTGCTTCGGCAGAGAGATCTTTCTCAAAATTAAAATTGATAAAGAATTACCTGCGAAACTCAATTGGCCAAGATCGTCTTTCCAACATCAGTATATTAAACATAGAAAAAGAAAAAACAGCTGACTTGGATATAAACAAAATAATTTTTGACTTTGCTGCCATAAAAACAAGAAAAATGAATTTTTATACTTGATTTTATAAAAAAAATTATGTAAATTTTAAATAATTAAACAGTTTTAAAAAATAATTATATGACATATTGACATGTGAGAAAACAATATTTTTAGAGTTATAATAAATAAGGTACCTAATATCGTTTATGACTATTTTTTTTTTTTTTAGCAGGTAAGGGCCCCAATCTGGACATTTTCACATGGGCCCCTTATTATCAAGTTGCGCCACTGTATGTACATAATGTACAAGATATTATTACACGAAATTTAAATGTTCAGGTTGAAATCGTTGAATATTGGTTTATATCACTATAAATTATTTAAACAATTTAAAACTCCGATTCGTTTATATAGTAGTGTACCTAAATAATATCGGTTACAATAGGTACCCATATTATAACGACGATCAAAAATCAAAAGTTGGACCAAAATTACTTACTAGATATGATAGATGCCGTAGATGCGTAATGACGATGAATGTAATATAGATAGGTACAAGGTACATGTATTAGATATTCGTTGCTAAAAATATAAACCAGTGGGTATAACTGTATAAGATACCCTATATGTTAATAATTATTATACTATATATTTTACAGATACATCTTATACAATATAGACACTATATTACAATTTATGATACCTATACATAATATATATATTATACAGAAATAGTATGTAGGGTTAGGAAGTTAGATACCTATATAACATACTTAACTATATATTTGTATGTAATATTGTAATACAATATATTATGTTCATATTATATATTAAGTATCATACTAATATATCGAGGTACTATTGAAGTATTGAATTATTCAATTTGAATAGCATTTCTTTTAACTTGTAAGTCACGTATCAAGTTATATACCTATAAAATGTAATATGAACTTGTGGCGCGTGGGATTAAAACCTTTGGGATTTAATTATGTATATACTTGTTGCTTAATAAGTATTAGTACTATAGTAAAGTAGTAGGAGGTACATATATTTTCTGGTGCCTACTCTAGAACTTGAGAAGTGTTTTGTATATGTAAAAATACATTAAAGCTATAAAAATGAAAACAATCAACACACATTATACGTATATAGTGTGACTAGATCGATATATAGTACCCATATATTATACACTTATATAAAACCGGTGACCTTACGCAATTTATTGTCCTCTACGACTACAGAAGCTATGAAAAACAAAAAAATACAAAATACCAGAAATGCTTACAAGTTATAATTAACATTTAACACGAAAGTATATTATTATACCTACTATAAAATCGAACACGCACGACGTAATTAATTAGTATTTTTTTTTTTTATTTGTATAGCTACGTCTCACTGTTCGTAGTATACCGCCTATATTTATTTGATTTCAGTGACTAGTGAGCATATTGTGTATCGTGTATGGTGTACTGGTGTGACAGTGTTCGTATTTAAACTACTCAATCAATTACGGCGAATACCAAGCGTTGAGGAAGTTTCTATTTTTTTAAATTAACTAAAATTTTAAAATACTTTTCAGAATTATTGTAAATAAATTATTCTTAACTTCCATTTTTTATTTAGTCACGTTACATTACTTTTTGATTTGTTACAACTAAGGTTAATTTTTATTTTCGAAAAAACCAAGGAACGCTTAATAATAAGTTGTTAATACTTTAACACTAATCACTAATTTCAAATTATATAAAAACTTTGTTTAAGATTTTAAGAACCAAAGTAAACTGTAGACAATAATATTAATATTGCTTATGTAATACGTTTAACAAATTATTATTATCATTATATGTATTTTAAATAACAATGCATTTTCCAAATAAAAACATTATTGTCAAATATACGAAATACAATATTGTTTTGTTATTAAAAAAATGTTGCTGTATTTTTATTAATCACACGTATGTGATATATTATGTTTTATTATGCTAACATAAATTATCAATTGGTTCTTTAAATGTATGTATTAAAAACACAGCGGGTTAGTGGATGTCGCTCTGCTGTACATATTAGGTGTATAAGAGGTCGCTGTAATGGATGGTATTAAATTTGAATTTATACTATTCTTAAATTATCAGTGATGCTTGAAAAATATTAAATATTTATGTACCTGCTTATGTAAAATTGGGCTGTTTTGTTTAATCCTTAGGTGTAAAAATTGAAAATTTTATAAATTTTTAACCTCAAAATCATTTTCAATTTTCAATTTGATACAATTGTTCATTTTTGAATTACAACAAAATAAGAAAATCGCTATATGAGATATGGAGTGATTATCTACCGTTGTAAAAATTTCAACTCCAAACGCTCATAAAAATTTAATTTGACTATCAGGAAGAAATTTTATTTTCGATAAAGATAGACCAACTTGTAAGGGATCTTATATTATATTTTTAAATTTTAAATAGAAATAGAAACATTTTTATGAATTTTTTACTAAATATAATTTGCTAATCTTCTTGATTTTTACGAATTTTGTCGAAATTCTAAGTTTAAAAGCTCATAAAAAATTATTGTGGATTTACGCTTACCTTTTTTTAAATTTCCATTTACAATAACTTTCAAGGATCCTTGAATTACATTTACAAGTTTTTTGGCGGAGCGAAATTTTTTTTTCGATTTTGGTTTAAAAAAAGCAAATAATAATCGAAAATTTCATATGCCTATAAATAGTTTAACATAAATCAAAATATTTTAAATATTATATGGTGTATAAGTATAGAAAATGCTTACACAAATATTCATTGAAAATTGCATGTATCTAGTATCTACGGTCATTTTTGTTAGAGTTACACTAAACACCGAAATCGATGCCTGATTTGCCTGAAAATTACCGTTTTTCCTTAATTTTTTGTTTGTTTTTCTTGTTGCTTTTGAAAAACTATTGGGAATTTTAAATTTTGACCTCCCGAATGCACCAACTAGATTCAGTGATTCACTTTCCTAGGTACCAGAAAAGTTGCTGTTGAAGAAAATCGAAGCACTTTTACTGCAAGAAACCGTGATGGCAGAAACGAAAAAAAAAAAAAATATATAAAAACACACTTCATTGTTAAATCAATGCATTTGTACATAGTTTATGTGTTCTTAGTTTTTATTGAATTTCTAAATTTAACAGTTTCCACGCGTCTAGATAACAACCAAATTATATTGGTTTATAATTATATTTGAATAAAAAATACAATACAATATACAATTGAAGAATATTTAATAAGGTATAGGCAGGACTATACTAAAAATCGGTGTAAATGTTAAGGTGAATGACAACATTTGGTGAATGTTGACATTCACCGGTGAATGTTAACATTCACTGCTGTTTTTGGCGAATGTCAACATTTTGAATGAATATTAAAAATTTACCAACAGTCAACGGTGAATGTTAACATTCACAACGATTATCGGTGAGTGTTGACATTCACAATTGAATTTTGGTGAATGTTTAGTTAAGATTGGAGTATAGATGTTCAACGATTGGTGTGTGGTGTATCGTGTGAAAGAGTATTAGGTAAACTTTATTTATAATAAATAAATAATTAAATAGGTACAATAACAATACTTAAATATATTTTATCATAATATCTGGTTTAATAAGTTGGTTGCTAAAATTATCCGTTAGATGGCAGAACTATTTAAAATAGAAAAAAAATGTATAAACAGTAAAATGATAAATTTTATTCAATTCTATTCAGAAAAATCTAGTGCTTCAAATGGTTAATAAATAATTTATAATTTATCAATTTTCCAGCTAATGAGATCCATAATTATGACACTGAGCAGGTGGAACATAATGTTGAGCAAACTGAATTAGATCATGAATTAAAAAAAAAAAAAAAAACATGATTCAAAATAGAGCAGCAGCAAGAATGGGACTTGAATTACAAGCTGAAAGAATGCTTCGTTCATCAAAACAAAAGTTTACACCAGCTAAACCTGGTGATACTGTTCGTATCCGAGTCCCTGATGTTGACCAAGGGCGTATGGATCCACAAAACATATTAGCAGTTGTCGTAGCTGTCGATAATGAATTTTACACACTAGGAACAAAAGAGAGTGTATTAAATCAATTATACACCCGTAATAAATTTGCTGTATGTAAAGAAAATATATTAACTCCTGAAGAAGTTGCTACTGACCAATCCGTGTCCTTACGGAAAGCGTCCACTTCAATTTCTCAAACAGGTGGACAGGGGTACTTGAGATGCAATTATAAGGCAAAGTGTGTGTCGAAGAAGTGTAGTTGTAGATCCTCAGGCATTTTATGTAACTCAAAATGTCATAATAGTTTGTCTTGTTCCAACAAATAATTTTATATTATAAAATAAAATAATTATTAATTATTAACCCTTTGAGTGCTAAATTAATTTGTAAAAACTATTTATCTCTAGGTATTCATCTTTTTTTACAAAATGTCAACATTCACCAAAAACAGATTGTGCATGTCAACATTCACCAGTGAATGTCTACATCTAGGAAGAAATTAGCATTCACCAGACATTTCGGTGAATGTGACATTCACCAAATGTCGTCATTCACCTTAACATAAATACTAATAAGTATAATCGAGTTTTGGGTGCTGGAATACTACTGACGCTGGCACCCGCAAACGGAAAATCGATTTTGGGCTGTTATACTTGAGTTACAAATTCCAAATTTGTGGTTACGAATTATTACGAATTGGTTACAAATTTTTGAAACCATTTTTGTAACTAAATTTGTACTTTGGGGTGCCAGGGTCAGTGACCTAAAAAAGGAGGTATTTATTAAGTATAAATTATAATTATAATCGTTTAAATACTTAAAGCAGACGCTCGGCGTATAGTATAGGCAATCACGAATGCAGTCTGCAATATTGACCATAATTTATTATTAATTACATTTTATCTCCGTTCACCGAAAGAATGTGATGTGCACAAATGAAAACGCGTCGAACCCTCGAAAAAACACAAATCTCCAATCCTCAGCACCAAGTGTGCTCCAAATTAGTATTTGTGGATTAGAAAAGTGAGATCACTGGATGGTTTCTTCCCTCACCCCATTCATGTCAAACTGCTTGTAGCACATATTCTTATTATGCCTAGGGCATAGATTGTAGATATATTTCAAATAAAAAAAAAAGTATTCATGAATAAGAAATCACCAGCCAAACTAGTCATTTATCTAATGCTGTGGACCTATTAATTAAGTAACCCACCTAATCAATCTAACTATTCTATGGAGTAACATTCTAAAATGTTCTTTATCAATTACCTATTATTTTTAAAATAAATATTTTCTTTGATTTTTAATATTTTTATTATGACGTTTGTTTAATTATTTTTATTGATTGGAATTTACAATAATATACAAATGCTACAACTTATTATTTCTTATCTATATTACGCTTATGTTTTTTAAATTATATTATTAAAGTGCATTAATGTTAAAATATCACCTAGCCATTTCATCTTGGTAAACTTAATTAAATAATAGCGTTCCATGAATATTTTATTTAGATACTGATATTAATATCATATAAATTATAATATTTTATTTAGATACCGTTATTAATATTATATAAATTATAATATTTTTATCTTTCAACATAGTTTATTAAGGTTATATGTTAAGTAAGGATTTGTGATATTTGTATAAAATAATAAATACTCAAAATATTATTGACAAGGTATATTTATTGAACGTCATGAGGCGTAGTAGTTCGCGACACAACTTCGCAACGAACACTGACGGAAACGTAATAATACATATAAATTCACCGGGGTCGGCGCGATATATACAACAAACCACTATCGATAAGCGATAACATATAATATAATATTACACAAATATCACANGAATTAGATCATGAATTAAAAAAAAAAAAAAAAAACATGATTCAAAATAGAGCAGCAGCAAGAATGGGACTTGAATTACAAGCTGAAAGAATGCTTCGTTCATCAAAACAAAAGTTTACACCAGCTAAACCTGGTGATACTGTTCGTATCCGAGTCCCTGATGTTGACCGAGGGCGTATGGATCCACAAAACATATTAGCAGTTGTCGTAGCTGTCGATAATGAATTTTACACACTAGGAACAAAAGAGGGTGTATTAAATCAATTATACACCCGTAATCAATTTGCTGTATGTAAAGAAAATATATTAACTCCTGAAGAAGTTGCTACTGACCAATCCGTGTCCTTACGGAAAGCGTCCACTTCAATTTCTCAAACAGGTGGACAGGGGTACTTGAGATGCAATTGTAAGGCAAAGTGTGTGTCGAAGAAGTGTAGTTGTAGATCCTCAGGCATTTTATGTAACTCAAAATGTCATAATAGTTTGTCTTGTTCCAACAAATAATTTTATATTATAAAATAAAATAATTATTAATTATTAACCCTTTGAGTGCTAAATTAATTTGTAAAAACTATTTATCTCTAGGTATTCATCTTTTTTTACAAAATGTCAACATTCACCAAAAACAGATTGTGCATGTCAACATTCACCAGTGAATGTCTACATCTAGGAAGAAATTAGCATTCACCAGACATTTCGGTGAATGTGACATTCACCGGTGAATGTCAACATTCACCAAATGTCGTCATTCACCTTAACATATACATAATATGTGTGTGTGTGTTAATGTGTTATGTACTTATGTATACTTATGTATGACTACCCTGCCAGAAATTCTGCGCATGCTTATGGATTTGAATACTCTAAAAAACAAGAAAAATACCTTAAAAGTACGATTTAAGTTACATTTTTTAATTCATTGATGTATGAAATTAACTTTGTGCTTGGAATGTTTGGCAATGTTTTTGGACATAAAGAAAAAATGTAATTGCATTCAAATCCGTTCCCTATCAATGGCTATGCCTTACTTTAGTATTCAGATCAATCGCAGATGAACGGAAAGAATTTGATAAATGGGGACTTAATAGGATAATTAAATCTTTTACAACGTCTTTAGTGAGTCGAAAGTTTTTTATGAATAACCAATCGGTTAATTTAAATGGATCCGTAATCATTTCCTTATTTCGTGTTTGTCTTTCATGATGCGCATTATTGAAATTATTTTGATGTTCTTCGACGTTATTAACAGCAAACAACATTGCCATTTCCTCAAAATTGGCCATTATAATTATAATATTAAAGAAAATGGGAAAAAACAAGTAATAACAAAACAGTCCACAAATTTGATGACGCGCGACGCTGTAAATGCGGCAATGTACCTATGCAAAATTGTATTGATATTTATTTATTTAATGTGGACCACAAGTCACAATACAACATTATATAAATTTAAGTTGTTAATTGTTATCAAATTAAAATTATTAAATGATTATTGGTATGACATATATTTATAAATTATCATGCGATATAGTCTTGTCACCGAGTTTTACCCAGTCGACTAATAGTCGAATGTTTTTCGTTCGATTACAGTCATACCTTTTTTCAAGAATACCAAATATTTATTTTCATGCGATAAAATGTTTATCGCATGCGACAAAGTTTATCACGATTTCAAGAATTGGCCCCCAGTAATGACCACCTAAAAATGAAGCAAAAACAAAAACATTATTCGACATAACATTTATAATTGTTTTAGTCTTTTAGAATAAACCACCTACAATATAATATTATACATGAACATTGTATTGTTTGGCAAAATATGATATAAGTAATACACTAATACCCAATACCCATTAACCTTTACACACGATCAAAATGCACTTGATTAATACTATTATATTAAGTGAAACAATTAAGATTTAAGAATAATAGCTCAATTAATGGCCATTATCAGTAATCAAATAAATGGTGAGTACTTTGACACTGTCAACACAAACTATAATAACTATTGGCTATTGCATATTGTACTTAATACTCGTATACAAACGAAAACAACAACAAATCGAACACCAAAATAATTACTATAAAACTTGTCTACGAATTATCAGTTCCATTCAGTTCATTTTCTTTTCCAAATGCGACTATGAGGTGATTGTCGATTCCCGAACACAAAATATTATTTTAATACAGCGATAAAATGTTCCTGTTGGCTTTCATTATTATTATTCTCACGTCATACAAGTCTATTAATGTCGGTAAAGTGAATTAGTAGCATACAGTTATCTTTACATAAACCGGCAAGGTTACTGACGTTACCGGTCATATCCAAACAATAATACATATTCTATTCAATCGCCAATATCGTATTTTTGGTTTGCAAGCCACACACGAGGATCTCGCCATCGAAACAAGTAGGTAAGCACATTCAAATATTATTTACATGAATACAATATTGACACGTAGACTTATAGTGTAGAATTCTTTATAATTTGGAAAAAAACAAAAAAATTAGAGGTACCTAGACTGGATTTTGTAAGCTGCAAAACCAGTTTTTGACAAAATCGATTTCGCTATTTTTTTTTTAACATTCAAACAATACGTAGGTAAGTTTACTCAATAGAGTAGAGTATCAAATATGATACTGTCAATAAATGATGGCGGCGCCGCGGAAGCAATGCGAAAGCAGATTCCGCGGCGTCGTCGGTTAAAACGGAAAAAAAAGGTAAGTTTACTCTGCGAGCGTGATAAAAAATTCCCGCGGTTTCCAAACGTATTTTAATACAAACCAATAAACTGTAATTTAAATCGAATTTAGTAGCTTTATTATTTTGGTAATATATTTTGAATATGATACGTAGGTACGACTTTTTTTAATAAGTATTTTGAGAGGCGAGGACATTGTTGTATTGATAGGTAGATCAACTACTTTCTTGTCGAGTTTCGATGTCGATCATCCTATCTACATAATATATTGATGATAAACTAAAACTTACAAGTACCTAACACAATATATTATGAAACTCGTGTACTGCAGTATTTCGACCTAGTTCGAAGCTATATATTATACAAAGTTATATAGTGGTATTTAAATTTAAAAAGTCGATATCATTGTCCATCGAGACGAATGACGAAAAAAAATTAAAATTAGTTTTTATAAAATAAATGAAATAAAATTAAAGTATAAAAATAAAAAATAAATATTAAATACAATATAATAAAATGCTAATTAAAATTAAAAAAAACAAATACAATATAGTATACCTATAGTTATTATAATAATACTGTTTACAGTATATTCAGTATAATATTTTAATCATGGCTTTTTCTTCTATTATATAAATATGGCTTAATCATCAGTATATGGCTTACGGCTTACGGATGTTAAAAAATCAAATACACAGAATTTTCCATCTTGTATTGTTATACTTACATTTTGTAGAAGTTTTTCTACAGTAGGTACGAGCTTTGTCAGAATCTTTAAAGTTGATTTTGCTTCATCTGCTCAAGTTTCGATTTTAATTTTTCTAATTTTTTTTTCCAAATATTTGGATTCTCTTATGGATCCTTATACGTCCGGCACAGAGTTCGATTATTCTACTCTTCAGTCAAATTTTTAGGCCTTTTTGCTATTAATTGGTATTTTTAACAAATAGGTACAAAGTATATATAGGGTGGTCAAGAAATGGCGGATACATTTAAGAACTCTGTCAAATTGTTAAATTTGGTCATATTGGGTTGAAAGTAAAAAGAATGTGTAGAGGAACATGGTAATTTTTATTTACAAAATTAAAAAAATTAAAAATTTTTAAGCGTGAAAAATTATTTCATTTAAATGACGACCCTCTTCGGCTCAAGACGGTCCCTGAAGTTGCACATCACTTTCTTCACCATATCGTCCGGAATTTCGACAATTTCACGTCTAATTGACTCCTTCAACTCCTGAATGTTTCTTGGTTTGTCCACATACACTTTTGACTTTACGTAGCCCCCCCGAAGGAAAAAGTCACAGCGAGTGATATCGGCGGAGCGCGGAGGCCAGGGAACGTCACCATTTCGGGAAAAAACGCGCCCGGGGAATATTGTTTGCAAAAAAAGCAAAACTTGTCCATGACTACACCGCAGACCATCGAGATATTTATAGTCACGCTCGTTCAGATATTATTCAGTTTAACTTTAGAATTTGAAAACTTTGCTCATTACAGTTACTGGATACGGTACAAAACTTATTTCTCTGACTTTAAAATTTTTTTTTTATTTAGCCGCGGTATAATCGCTGCAACAATGGCATCGTCGTTCAAGCACGTCACCGGAGTCTGGGGACAGGGAGGCACCGGAACCGCGGAACGGGATTCGAGAATCGTCAAGCAACTCGAGTTCTATTTCAACGACACCAATTTGCCGTATGACAAGTTCCTCCAGGCCCAAATCCGGCTCGACGACGGCTGGGTGCCTATCCGCGTGCTCTTGACGTTCAAAATGTTGAAGTCCATCACCAGGGACTCGGCCGTGATCGCGTCCGCCGTCAAGCGGGCCGCCGACGACTGCATCGTGGAAGTCGACGAAACGGACGCCAAAATCCGGCGCAAACCGAAAATCGCCGCGCCCGCCCCCGATCGCGGCCTGTTCAAGGACATCGTCCAAAGGTCGGTTTATTGCAGCGGTTTCCCGAGGACGGCCACCGTGGACGAACTCTTGGAGTTCGCCGCGACGTTCGGCGACAACGTCATCACGAAAACCACCCCCATGAGATTCGGGTCCAAAGCGTTCAAGGGTTCGCTTTACTTCACGTTCAGCGCCAGAGACGAGGCGGAAAAGTTTTTGGGAAGAAAATCCGTCGAGTACAACGGAGTTGAAATAAAGCGCATGTGGGAGAGTGATTTTTTGGGAAATTACAAAGCCTACAGTCCATTCAATTACGCATAAAATGTCTAACACTTCCAGTGTAGGTACACACCGAACACACTAAACACACATTGCAAAAGTTTATTAAGTTTATTTTAGTTTCATTTTTTTCATCTGTTCAAATTGCATGCTTAATAGTAGTCATTATTTTAGTTACAAATATCGGACGATTGTAAATATCGATGGACTTAAATAGCTAGCATACTAGCATATTTTCATGTTGTAAGAGCCTTCAACAATCTCAAACGGCAAACACACGTACATATATAATATATATTGTGTATTTTTCAAAATATGTTTTTACATGAAAACACAACAAAAACTAAGAGTAGCTACAGCTTATGATAGTTTCAATTATAATTTTAAGTTTTTTTGTGTAATCATAACTTAATATTATTATTATTAATATTATTAATGGTTTGAATCTTTTAAATACTTTTTATATTACCTAATACTTATTTCTGTACAATGTTAAATTAATATTGAATATAATACAAATGCCAACATTAATAAATATTTTTTTAACAAATTCTTTAAAGTTACTAGTATATTCAGATTTACAGACTGTTTTAGAAGTGTTTGGTAGTTATGTGATGAGGAGTAGTATTTTAAGTCTACATGATAGATATGATTAAGGATATTCCATATATAGTTTTTTACATTTAAAGTACCGTAGAGATCATTTACATGAAAATTATATTATTTTGATAGAATAAATCTCAATAGGTAGTGAGTTTAAAGTTAAAATAAGTGGATTTAAGGCAAACGTTCATGCATTTCCCCAAATAACAATACCGTAACTAATAATGGATTGTACAAGTTATAAATAAACTGCATGTAAAGTCTTTGCGTTTAGGATATTTGTTAAATGTACAAAATAACTTTTGTACTATACTAACTACGTGTTTTATATGAACTGAAGAGTCCACCTCAAATTCCTATCAAAAATGTCCCCCTAGGTATTTAATTGAATCAACATATTCAACTTCTCATCACATTTTCAAGAAACTAAGCCTATTACAATTTGAGTGGTGAGTAACTTGAGGTCTGTGCATTAAATGTTTAATATTTTAAATTTAAAAATACATATACTTTGATTTTTTAATGTTTAATTCCATTAAATTATTTTAAAACCAGTTGTTCATTTTTTCCAGGGCGAGCATAGCTAATTTATTAACTAAAATATTCAAGGAATCACTAACCAAAATGAACGTATCGTCAGCAAAACCAATAATTAAACCATTGTACAGATTGTAAAAAATAGAGGTCTAAGTTCTATACGTACCCTATGGGAGACCATAGTTAATAGGTAAAAATTACTCAAATTGTTTTCCTCTTTAATAGCTTAATAGATTTCAACTAAAAATGATGAGAATAGATAAGTGCTTTTCCATGGACATCAGCTTATTCATGCTTTTCATATTAAAAATTTAAATACAATGGTTTACTAAATCGAATGCTTTTTTTTGGATCGATAAAGATGTCCATAACGATTACTCTATCATTGTTATCTAAATTTTCCCTAATATAATTATCTGCTTGAACTAAAGCATCAACCTGACTGAAAACCATATTGATCACTAAAATTTTTAATTATAATGAGATGACTTGAGGGAAGAACCAACCAGTGGAGGCCTTTAGTCTGAAATTTAAATTATTTAAAGATAATAGATTATATCCATTATTGTTTTTTTTGTAAAATGTTAGTGCATTTTAGAGTTGTTTTTTATTACACATTTGCCTTTTATAAACTAACTAATTTAAAAGATATAGCATTAATAATAACTCAATAAATAATAGGTAAAAGTATAAAATTATAATAGTTTGTAAATAGGTTATGATAATCCTTTAAAATATTTTAATTAACTTCTTTCAGTGATTTTAGTTCTTAACCAACACATTTTAAAATACAATAAATAATGAATTTAAAAAAAGTGTACAACTATAAGTTAGAAATTTACTTGGCAGTAGTTTAGTTGGCTAAAGGACAGTAAAGATTTAACTCGTAAAAAAAGAATATAAAAATATTAGAAATAATTATTAAACTAAAGTATACTCATTCAGGGGCTATAATAGCATGTTCTTTGGTAAAGTGTTTAGCTTTGGATTCAAATGTTTCTTTATCATTCTTAAATTCTTTTGCCTAAAAATCATAAAAACATACATAAGAAATTGAAAAGCAATAATTAATTGAATGTACATACAATATCCAGTACGAGTGGATCATTAGGATTTGGACAGTTCATTAGATTGCATATGGCAACCAATACGCCTTCAATGTTTATCAATGGTTTCCATGCACCAGATGGAGGCATTTTCAATATGTCCAAACAAATTCTGCCACCGCTGTCTATGTTTGGATGATAAACAGGTGTTATGAATGTCACTCTAGGAGGTTCAAATGGATAGCTATTAGGACACAATTAGGTAAAAATTAATAATTAAACAGCGTTCAGATACAAAATGTAATAGTTAATAATTCAAATTTACTTTGCTGACACTTCTATCTGCAATTTGAAAATTCCATTTTCATATGGAGAATCTTTTGGTCCGTGGAGTTCTAAAACAGTAAAATATACATTTTATAAAATTCAATTCTTGTAATCTTAATATCTCGGTGAAATTATTTTTAAAAAAAATACAATATAACACTTACCAGCTTCTAAAACAGAGGTTGATCCTTCTTTTACATTCACCTTTATACCAAAAGGAGGTTTGTCAAGTAATCGGCTTATTTCTTTTTTCAAACGTGGTGTACTTAGTAAACAAAAATCAAAAAATTAATAAAATTAATTTACAATAAGAAACTAGAGTTTTTTAAAAATCATTCATAATTGTTTAATAATATTTTAACAATCTGAAATGTTTTAAATATATAAAATTATTAATTGTGTTTTATTAATTGAGCTTCAATCGAAAATGATTAATTATTATGATTCATCACACTCAAAATAGTATCACAACATCATTATAATGGCCTAGGTAATCCTAATAATAATAAGCCTAATAATCAGAAGAGACACCTTTTGAGTTTAACATGGGTTCTTATGGTAGGGGGTGGGGATTTGCAGCACTTGTTAGCAAACCAGATAAAAAGAATTTTAAATCTTTATTACCTATACAAATTTAAATAAATTTAAATTCTTGGACAGTGTCACTTCTGGTTATTTAGTGGTCCTAGCCCAATCCCATCATTTTTATCTCTTCTTTATTTTTTGATAAAATATTACAGCTTGGCTATAACGATGCAAGTTTAATTTTAATCCAATATGAAAATGATTCTTGAAACTACATATTTGAATTGAATAATCATTTTTAAGCATAGTTAATTTTAGAGATAACAAACAATATTTTCTAATGTCCATACTACACAAGAATGACTGAATGGAATTTTAAAGAAAAATTATCAATTTTTCACTCAAACACATTCCCAATTGTTGAAACTTTCTCGGTTTTAATTTTAATACAACAATATTAATCAAACTTAGAGAATAATGAATAAGATAGTTTCCTATTATTCCTATACTTTTAAAATTTATTTACATTAATTTTAATCCTGTTTACATAGTATTTTAAATATAAATTGTATACAGTGTATTTAAGAAACAAAAGATTAAGTCAGTGATACATGATGATTTTAATGTCGACAATTTTAACTGATTCTTAAGAAATATCAATGTTATTGTTTAGATATATCAATAACCTCTTAATATACAGCCATAAATATTAGTGAAGGGAATTATTCGAATATTCGAATTTGAATAGTTTACTGTAAATAATTTGAATATTCAAATATTCGGACATCAGTATTCGAATACTATAACTTTTTTTAGTTGTTTTCCCATGATAAGTCTTACACATTTATTCAATTCTTTAACCAATTTTTGCTCCCACTAGCCATGTATTCTGTTTTCTTTACCCTTTTAATAGACTAGGTTAGCCATTAGGTATACATAGGTATAATATTTAAATAATTGTTTTAAAAACAAAGTTTTGATAGTTTTGTACAGTAATATATAATAATAATACATAATATAATATTAGGTATAACAGAAAAATAATAAATAATAAATAATAATTGAAAAATAAACATACATTTATAAGTAATAGTTTTACGCGATAATTTGTTTAATAATAATTATATACTTGTACGTTAAATTTCATCGATTATAATATTATTATTATTTATATTAATTAATATTGATTTTGTAGAATCAAATACTGATAATCGAAATATTCAAGTAGGTATTCGAATTCAAATTATTCTATTATTCGAATGTACATTACACCCCTAGTAAATATAGACAGTAGGCAAATTCCAAAAGTAAGAACATGGTTTCACTTATAAGTTATAACTAATATATTTATGGAATAATTTATAATAACTTAAGTATGTACATAATATTATATAAATATAGAAACTACATCATAATTTACACCTGTGACTACCTTCATACACTGTTTTCAACCTCAATAACTGTTTAATAACAGACTTTTTATTATTTTAATAGAAAAGAAAACGAACATAGTATTAAAAATTTTTCTAACGTTTTAATTACGACAAAAATAAAATATTTTTGATGACTTTGATTTTGTATTTGTACATTTCATTAGGATTAGGTTTATATTATATTAATGTATATGTATGACTTAAGAGGACGCTACCCATGCATTTGTTGTCTCCGTCCTACACATGTACGACATAGAACATTGTCGTTCAGTAGTTTCAATAGTGTGCTGTTAGTTTTTATATTAGAGTGAATTGACCTATTATTAAAGTTTTAGGTAAGAACATTATCTATGCTTAACCGTCTGAGGATTTTTGAATATTTTAATTTTCAAGCGAGATATGAACATTTTTGATTTGTGTTATTTCACAAACTCGTATCTTGCTTAAAAATGAAAATATCGAAAATCCGCCGACGCTTTACCATGGATAATATTCTTACCTAAAAGTTTGTTATACTTAAATTCATTTTAACATCAAAACTAACGGCACACTATTCAAACTAGTAAACGAAAATTTGCTCTGTCGGAAGTCGGTAAGACGGACACAACAAACGCATGGGTAGCATCCTCTTAAATGATTATTGATTATATAATATCTACGATAATCTTACTTCATGTTTGGAAGTTGGAATGGTGAGCTTAAATCGTTACGAGTGTTACGAATGACGAAATTCAAATAGCAAAATTGAAATATTGATAGTAATACTGAATACTGATTTATATCTTTTGTCGTGTGTCTCATAAGACGCACTGAATATTGAATAAGCGAATGAAAATGTTATGGAATACTGAAATCTCTTTATTTAAAAATAGCTCTTCTTTATATGTAATTTTTTTGGTCTGATATATTGTGACTACCATAGAAAAATACTCGAAGCCTGGCTACAAGACAGTGGCTACAACTATTTACTATATAGCAACAAGTTACAACGGTGACCATGATAGTAGTGATATATAAATTGTTCTATGGTGATAGTGTTATAATATGATTCCACCACAGATATATAGAATATAAATATATTATTCTATATATCTGTGGATTCCACAAAACATTTATTCTGTAATGATAACATGGTACATTGTATTTAACCATGGTCCGAGGTATATGATCTAAGCCACTGATAAGATATTGTGGCTGATACCAGTTAAGTTGCATTTACTACATTTATTAGGGGCAATTTAGTAACCAAATGTTGAACACAAATATTATTATTATTATTTTGAACTATTAATTTCAAGGAAGGACAAGATACTTGAAAATAAGTATCGAGATATAAGATACTAGACACATTAATTTTTACTTCTAGATTCAAGATACGTCCAAAATTGTCCAAAAGATACTAGATACAAGATACATTTATATTAAAAAACTTATATGAAACGTAATATTACACGAATTCAGGTACGTAAGTACGTAACCAGACTTTTTCCTATAAGGGGGCCAACATTTTTTGCCCCTTTCGGTTTTTTGTACCCAATACCACTCTTGTCCTTATCAGATAATATCTATACAAACTAATACTACATTTCATAATGTATTGTCTGTATTGGTTAAGCATTATATTTTTATTATATATGAATATAGGAATGCAGTATACATCTTAAACAACTATATAAGGATTAAGGACAAGTCGTCTATTTTTGTTTCGCTGCAAATCTTTCAGTAAATTCATCTAAATCTAATAATTTTACCAGTGTATGGAACTCCTAGTTTTCAGTCTATATTAATAGACGTATTATTGTCTTATCTCAAATTGTCGAGTGACGAATGTTTATAAGATAGAATCTAGGAATTTAATTTTTGTTATACGATCGTTAACTATAGTACCATATTAATATACATTTAGGATTCAGCCGATTTGGGACAATTATGCACAATAATATTTTAAAATAAAAATCAAGAGGGCCAGTTCTGGGACATTGACGCAGGCCCTCTAAGGCCCCCCCTTAACGACGTGCTTGCACGTGAAAATAATACACTATTACAATTTAAAAAATATCTATTAATTATATTAAAAAAGACATACCAAATTACCATACCAATTTACCAATTACTTTATTATATATTATTAGTTAGTTAAGACAAAAAAAAATTACTTAAAAAAATATTATTATATTATTATTAAAACAAGGACTTTCATGCATTTGCGTGTTTTTCTGGTTTAGTTAAACGCATGTATTGTAAGTACACAATACCTTTCACAACGTTTGTGACCAAAAGCTAAAAGGTTTTTAGTGCATATTTGGACATTTTTTGGTGTAAGGGCATATTTTAAGCTTTTAGTGCATATTTTGATGGTTTATCGAAAATCTAGCACTTTGGTAAATATTTTCCATGAATCAACAATTTGTTACAAACTTATAAAGACGATAGAGATAAATGTTATCTTGAAATAATAATAATGGTCAGTATTTATTATGTCTATTTTTGTATTTTTATTTAACGAATAGTAGGTACGTAGGATAAAAACGATAGTATCATTATCTATAGTCAGTGGGTAGATTAGATTAGTTCTAGTAGATTCGCCGCATGTGTGTAAGTTCCGTGAGCTTAATTTTTATATAACGTTCGTGACTTTAATTTTTGTCATTCTATTAAAATGCCAAAAGAAAAATCGACAAAAGCTTATAGTTTGCGTAATTTTGTAATCGAGTTTGATGAATCTGTATTTTCAACGGATAATAATTAAGAAGAATGGGATCCAACATTTAAAAAAAATGTCAAATCAGTTTAATAAAATAAATTTAGTTAAAACTTATAGTGAATAATAATAAAATTAATTTTTTTAAGAGCATATTTAACAGCATATTTTTAATTTTTTGATGCATAAGTGCATGTTTTTAAATGCATATTTGATGATTTTTTAGCGCATGAAAGTTCTTGCTTTAATTATTATATTTTTGAGAACGCCATATTTGCTTTAAAGAAAATTTAATTTTCAAACGTTTCATCTGATAGTCTAGAACATGTTGGTGGAATGTATGTAACCAACAGAAAAAAACGTCAGTTGAACTGGCACAAATAAATACAAACTTGCGTTATAACTTATAACAAATAAGCAATTGTTTTGAAACAGGATAACTATCCAGCATAAACAAAGACCTTTCTAGTCATTCAAAAAGGTAACGACTTTTAAATCGGCTATAGATTCTTGTGGCTTATTCTCTGAGTCATTTTAAAATATAACAAAACTATTATCGGGATCTCCACCTACCATTATTAAAGTGATTACTAGTGCTCGGATTTATATGCAATAAATATCTATAAAATAATATATGATTTTTTTACAATAATATAAAACACAATCTAAATGTATCTATAAAAAAGTAAAAAAATTCAAAATAACATTTTTTTAATGACAGTGTGTAAGTATAAAAATGTTATAAATTGATTAAAGTATCACACATTCAATTATTAACTATTTCAAATTCAGAAATTAAATTAAAATTATTATTATGGGAAGAGTACGAGTATGAAGTAATAAAAATCGATTTTTAGTTTCCAAATTGGTAACTTCTACGATTATCTCGAAGCATACTTTAGTATTTGGAAAAACTTCGTTCCACATCACCAATACTATAGGTGCATATTTTAAAACTAGATAAATCTTCAACTGACAGTTCCTCGTCTTCGTCACATTCCGTTTCTTCACTGTTGATTATACTTGATTTTTTTCAACTTAGAATATCCATGATTTTAAATATTAGTACAGACGTAATTGATGAATAAAAATAGAATTATAATGATTATTATTATTCTTAAAAACGTATTAATTATAAGCTATAACTGTCATTCTTGTTACCTATACCGAAATATTTTGAGGTATCTATAGCTAAATTGAACAAGTATATTACTAAATTCATACAAACCTTCAAAATCGGATTTTTTAAATAGAAAAGTTAAATTGAGTATTATTGTTTCAATAAACCATTTCGTTCTTTATATTTAAGCAGTTGAATATATCTAGTAAGTACAGCACATCTTATTAAAAAGTATCTTTTAAATTAATTTTTCGCATTTTTCAACCGCTAAAATATATTTACCATTTTACCATGTAACATAGTTGGAGTTTCTGAAGAGGGTTGAGCTACAGGCATATTATGTAAATTGTTAACTAATTATGAGGTATAAAAAAATAAGGCTAGGTTTAGTTTAGCACTCAGATGGACGACAAGAACGTACTAAAGTCTAAAATAACTGGTCAGTGTATTGCTTACCTATGCGAATCTAGGACGCCCCCTCCCCCCACCCACAATAACTAATTAAAAGTGAAAATATCAAATAATAATATGCAATATTGCAATTCAAATCAATACATTTATAAATGACTAAATTAATAGGTAATATAATTAAATAAATAAATAAATAAATATACTTATACTAATACTATTCAATAATACGTTAAAATAACACTATTTCCAATATACAAAATTCACTAATTTAAATATTAAAAATATTAAACAATAAAAAAATTATAAATACAAAAAAATAAATATAGATACTGTTTACGAGAGTTTTCATTAGATATTTACACAAATTTTAAAATTAATTTATAAGTATAATTTAATAATACTTGTACATAACTTTAGTTTATCAATCAACACTATAAATATTAGGTACCGTATGACAGTATCTGTGTTAAATGATATACGATTTTTTTGCTATTTTATAAGCGATGAGTAGGTATAATAGATTGTATAATGTACAAAAATATTTGATTATTGGAATAGTTATTTCTTATTACTTCTTAGGTATTTATTTCAACAAAAAATTAACGAATCTTCATTGATATTTAATATTTAGAATCGTTACACAAAACAAAAGGTATTATAAACACTTCAAAAAAATGTATCTGGATACAAGATACTAGATGCAAATATTTAATTTCAAAAGATACAAGATACGAGGTATAAATATACCTACCTGGCTACCTATCTTAGACACTGCTCATCCCTCATTATATTTCAATAATAAATTTTAAATAAAATTATATGCTAATATTGCTAATAGTACATCGTGTCATATAATTCTTACACTGTGTTTTACAAATACTATGAATTATAAAATCTAAAAAATAACTTTGTTTTGGTGACTCTCTACAGTTAAAAAACTCCACCACTAACAAATCTTCTTTACATCGTGATAGCGACCGATGTCAACGATAAGAAAGATATGGCTATCTAGTATTCTAGTTGTTGTATAAAATGTCGTAAGCACTAAGCATATAGTAAAATCAGGCATTTTAGTAAATACCTAAGAGTATATACTCAAAGAATTTAATTTGTGTGCAATTTTCCTATCCACCTAGTCATTTAATTCAATGTCTAGACTTTTAATTAAATGCCTGTTTCAAGTCAAGCAATAATAATAAAAATGAAAAGTATTTGTATTATTTTATAAATTTAACTATATTTTCATATTAATTATTTATTGCTATTCTATTTGAAAAAATGATGTATAATTTATTAATATGTAAATATTTTTGATTTTGTGTCCTTCGGTATTATTGTTTTTAAATTTTAATTATAAATAACTTTTTAGGAATGATTATAGTACGAGTGTAAAAATGAATAAAAGTCGTATTATAATTAAAAATTGATGTTAATTTTTAGTTATACCTACTACTTCACAATTACTAACAAAAGGTTAAATTTTCCACTCAACAATGACATGTAATGACAAGTAGTAACTAAAAATTATGTTTTTATTATAATATAACTTTTTATTAATTTTATATACTTGTACTATCATACCTAATAGGTTAGGTCGGTTAGGATTAAAAATGTAAGTTGTAAAACCGTAATATCGGAGTCTTATAAATTTAAAACATTAGGTACATAATTTTTAGATATAATAGCAATAAATAATATTAATAAGAAAATAAAGTTTAATTTTAAAAACAATACAAATACTTTCATTTTAATTATTTTTTTGACTTGAAATAGGCATTTAGTTAAACGTCTGGGAGTTTAATTGAATAATTAGGCATACCTACCAATGAATAAATAATGATGTCTCGGTAGGTGGTAAAATGCAACCCGAATTAAATGTTTGGACAATTTTTCTAGGCATTTAGTAAAATACCTAATTTAACCATAGTACGCCTACGACCACGGTCCACGATTATAAAGAACTTTTATAATCGTGCCTACGACATAATGTAATATTATTTTATTTATTTCTATAGCTAAGATAGTCCATGACACACTGACACAGAATAACGTGATAGGTCTTATCATTTATCATTAATCAGTGGTTATCACTCGAGTCGTCGACTAAATATTTTCATTTTTCTTAAGTATATTTCTGATTTTCCAACAACGATGTGAATCTGAATACCTAAATAATATTAATATACTCTCTGTCTCCTCCTGTGATTGTCAGTCGTGACAAAAAATCATCACATTTGCGGTTCACCTTTTAAAAATGGAACCGTTGATGCCTTCCGAAGTCGCTCGTTTAGTATACGGTGAGTACATACTTCAGTTTTTAGATCCCTAGATTAGTACTTTTTTCATCACATTCGCATGTCCAACAATTTGTTTTGTGGATTCCCGTCTCGGGATTGCGAGTTATATAATATGTTGACGGAATTCATCCCAGTCCAATGCCACTGGAACCACCGTTTTCAATTTAACTCAGTGAATCAAAACGTGTACATGAATATTTTAGTTAGGTATATGATATTATTCCTGGTCATGATATCATGCCTAGTTTATGCCTTGTCAAAGTGTTTAATTGTTTTATTTTAGTTTTTTTGAAGCCAGGTGCCATGACAAATTAAAAAAATGATATTAGAGTGTAGGCATATAATATGTTTAATATGTGTAGGTATTTATTATTTTTGTATTAATAACCTTTTTTTCAATACAGGTTATCTAAAGAAAGAAAAAAATGAAGAAACTGCTGAATGTTTTTTAAGATCCTCTCCTTGTTTAACTGAATGTTATCAGATGTTTAAAACTAACAGAAACTTCAATATAAAAGTGAATGGGTTCAATTTGCATGACATCTTTGAAGTTTTTGGTACTATGTGTAGTATGAGTAAGTTTTGTATACTTATTAATTATTATTAATTGTTTTTGCCAATATTGTAATTGATATAAATTATATAAATTATTAATTCAACAAATATTGTTAATATTTTACATGATTTGGTTTTAGTTGAAGAACGAATATCTGAAGCATGTGAATCAAAAACTTTAATTGAGAAATTACAATATTTACTAGATTCAAACCATATATCAACCAAAGAAGATAAATCTGTTAAGGCCAAATTAAATATGGTTGACAAATGTGTTGGTAATACAGTTCATACTAAAGATCAGGGTACACATATGTCAATTAATGTAGAAGCAAATAAAAGTACATTCGACGAATTATTAGAAATCCCAATGTTCCCTGAGATAATTTCTAATAATGTTTCCAAAACAAAAGAAATCGACACATTTAATAATGAGACCGCTATAATCGATGAGAAAAACTCAGGTACATTTTCTTCACCCTGTATATCATCAATGACACATCTAGTAAACAATAATGCAAGAACAACATTTACCAAAATTGATGACAAAGAATCTCCAATATTTCAAATTAATAAACAAATGTGTAGTACTCCAGCAAAAAAAAAAGATGGAACAAAAATAAATATTGAACCAATGCTACAATGTAGTCCAAAAAATATTCATAATTTAATTTCTGTGTATGTATTAATGTTATAAATATCTATGATTAGTTTTAGTAATACATTTTTGCTTTACATTTAAAATGGACACCAATTTTGAACAAATGATTTTCTTCAACAGTATGCCCGTTTACCAACCTTATGTTTAGAAAATAATAGTAAAAACTAAAGATACAGGGAGTGATGACGTATGTTCCTAACATTCTACAAAATTTAAATTTGTTTTACTAATAAACTATTCAACTTTCATTTATAAATTTTAAAATTTAAGTGTCTAAAACTTTTTTTTACAGTGATCAGGCTGAACATCAGCAAATACCTGAAGCGACATCACTTGACTCTATGCCAGGATTCTCTAAAGAGGATAAAATAAAGGATGGATCAGTTATTATTGATACTGGTGAATTAGTCGATACATTTTTGAATGACCCAAGTTTGTTAGAAAAAATTGCTGATACTATCAATAAATGTTTGGAAGCTCAAAAAGAATTAGAAAGAGTCTTAGATCCTTCTACACTTGAAAAAGCATTAGACTCTGCTCAGTCTGATCCACAAATCAAAAACATACTGGATGAGTTTTTAGGTATGTTTCCTGATCAAATCTTTTAGGAACTTATATATAAAAATATTTTATGATAAATTATTTTGATATATTTATAGAACTTATAATTGTGAATAAGTTTTAGTAGGTATGAGTAATTATAATTTTTTTTTCTGAGTAGTATTTAATTTTGAAAATATGATTTAATTTAAAGTTTTTACTCATAACTAATGTTTATATATGTTTATTGTAAATAAACTCGTTACCAATATTGGTATATAATTAGAAAAAATTACTTCCCCTTAATTTAAGTAAGGGTACCTAACAAAATACTTTTTTATTTTTATTACATTATAATTTATTATTAAAAAATGTGTTAATAGTTGACAGTATTAGAATTTGGGAAAATATTAACTAAGTAACATCAGCGTGCTATGATAATATTCTAAATAATATTCTAGTATTAAAGGAAAGGTATATGGATAAATATTTATCATCACAAATAAAACTACCCATATGTTCTTATAGTTTTTCAATGTGTTAGTCATTATAATATTATATTTAATCAACTGTATACATGAAATGCGAATAATATAATAAAAACGAATTATTAATATGCATAATTTATCATAATACTATATATGTATTTTTAATTAGCAACTACTTACTCAGAATGAATCAATAATATAATAATATATAATACTAACCCGTTTTTGTGTACATTTCAGTTTTTAATGTTGACAATGCTGAAGTTGGTAAAAAAGCAAATACTAATGATCATCTAGACTCAATCAAATCACGTTTACGTAGTGCCAAGAAAAAAGGTATATAATAGATTCTAAATAATTGTATACAATCAATAAGTTCTATGTTTTTATATGTTTGTATAGATGATGCACCAAACAAATTAAAAAAGAATAATTTTAATATGCCAAAACATGTTTATGGTAATGAAGAATGTATGAAAGTTGACAGTAATATTGTATTAATACATGAAGGCAATATCAGAACAACGTTTTTTGATAATTACGATTTGTTATCAAATCAAATAGTTCTACAATCAAGCGACGTATATAACTTTGACTCAGCTAAAACAAAACCAGGTTTGCTTTACAATACAATTTGTGTATAAAATCTTAATTAATTTACAATAATAGTTTTATTTACCTTATTCATATTAGATCAATGTTATTAATATTATAAAGCTACTGAACTCTTAATTTGATATATAAAGTATAAAGTATAGGAATGCTATTTACCTAGTTGAATATTACAAAATATTTATAGAAGAAAATAAAACTGTATACTTACACAGTACACACTGTCCTAAAATATCTTATGTTTTATAAAATAAAAATGATTAATGGGGGACGGGCCAAGTGGATAACTCGTCGGTTGCAACACGCACCGTTGCTGGTTCGAACCTCGGTTACGGGCGGCACTACTCTCCAGGCAGTCACGGTATCTGGAGAGAGGCCGCCATCCCCCAACCGGGCATGGCAGAAACCTACGAGTGCCCACTAGAATTTCTATCAAAACAAACACACGTGTTCCAAAACCCTACAGTCCAAATAAACCCTACAGTACTACAACCTACAGCTAATGGCCTCTGTTGCCAAAGCTTAATTAAAAAAAAAAAATGATTAATGTACTTATAAAAATGAGTACATGCTTAAATAGCATGAGGTTATTATGGCTTATGAGTGATATACCAAATACATTTTTAAGGACTATAAATAATTACATTCGTGGGTATTGCTTATTAAAATTAAAATATAAGTTACTTTTAAGTAACTGCTTGCCATCATAAGGACTGAGGGTTACACCAGCCGTATCATTCTATACACTATTTCTTGAGGTCCTAAAAACGCAATAGGACAAATAGACAATTAGACAAATCCTTCCTGAATGCCATCGTTATTTAGAGTAAAAATGGTTCATAATTTTGGGAATGCTTTGTTTTTTTTTTTTAGAAGAAGAAGATTATTTATCCAAAGCAAACTATGTGAAAATTGCTCCAAAAATAACTCCTATGTTAAAGATTCACCAAGGTATGAATAATATTTAGAAAAATATTGTAATAATTTAATTTCTAAATTCTAATGATAATTTATTAACATTGTTTATAAACATATACATGTAGCATATAATCTGCATTTTGCATTATGCAATTGGCCTGGATTACTATTAAATGTAAATATTAGCAAAAATAACCTAATCTGCTTAGTAAAAATTATTTTGTGTAAGCCATTAAAAATATGGAATGTGATTTAAATATAATATACAGAACCTTAAAATAATCATTCAGGCAAAAATGTATTAATTGCAGACAAATGCACTTTATAGTAGTTCATACTAATTTACTTCTTATAGTATGTAACAGAAGAAATGACTTATTTTAATCAATATAAATATTTTTTTTTCACATAACTTACAGGCGCTTGTGTAATATGTATAGTATGAACATTATAATGATAATACTGGACATATTAAATATGGTGTACATTTTTTTTTTGAAAAATTAAAAATAGCTATCTTGTAAATCAAAGTGTTAGAAAAATGTTGACTATAAAAACATTTATTTAAGTCATGTAGTTTATGCGTGTAATATTTGCAAATTAATGAGTTGCTACAAAAAAAATTTTACATGTTAAAAATTATCTAAAGTAAACCACTTGGCTCAGATAAATATTTTTACAATCAAAAGTTTTCTAAAAACAAGATTTACAAATTGGCTATTTTTGAAATTCTCAAAAAAATTTTATTTTCAAGATTAAAAACTAAAACTAAAAATGTTATATTGAATATGTAGCGTAGAAGTTAATTACATTTCTATATGAAACAAATTTTTAAGTATTGATAAGAACAAAAGTTTTTTTATTTATCAGGTCCTCCTGTTACACTCAGTATACCAATAATAATATAACTACTAATAAATATTGTATTAATAGTTTTTACTTTTAGCTCCTGAAAAACATATATTTCCAAAACGAAGAAAACACCCATTAGAAGTTCCTGCCATAAAGAGCAAATTTAGGAGAACAAATATAATTTCTAGACAACCACCTGTTCAGATTCCTAAATCAATTATTATTGAAGTTCCTAATCAATGTTCATTTGAAACTCAAGAAAAAAATCATATAGGGACTAATAATCTTATCAAATTACCTGAAGATACATCTAAAACTAATGATGTGATCGTTCACAATACACCAGATAATAAACTAGAAGATCCAAAAAATAAAAGTATGAGTACACCTCATAGAAGAAGCACTCAAATAAGATCTTTAGATTGTATTACTCCGCAGCCCAAGAATATGACTCAAAATCAGGCTTGTTCGACATTGCTCTATGACACACCAAAAAAAATTGAAAAATGTTTGGAAGAACCTTCATCTAGTCCTTTACCAATACTGCAAGCTGATTGGGGTTCAGTTAATGGATTTGAATCAATTATTGGGAAGGAGAGTATTAAACACTGGGACACAGATATTAGAGAAATGGTGGGGGCTGGGATATTAACATCAGATGCGGATAGGAAAAAACCAAGAAAAAAAATAACCCCAAGAAAAAAAATAAAGCTGGTTAATGGTCAAAATAATTCTATAGCTTTGCTTGAAGAAAAAACGAAATCAAGTAATCATTCAATTACAACAAATGAACTATATACTGATGTATTAAATATTTCCGAAAACACAAATGGCGGTTTAAATGCTCAAGATTGTAATAGGCAAACACCAGATGGCCAAAAGCCATCAAAGGCACAGACAGGATTTCCTATTTCATTGGAAACTTTTAATAATGCTATAGAATTACATGATAAACAATCACCAATTGAATCTGATGCTTTAAATACATTGAAAAATCAAAGTAAATTTCCTATATCATTGGAAACTTCAGAATTGTACACTGAAGAACAGTCAGCTAAATTTGATTCTTTAAAAAACAACACCAATGAAATATTATTGGAAGAACAAAGCAAATTTATAAATTCCTTAGAAACTTCAAATAAAGTAACTGAGTTTAATAATAAACAACTTCCCATCAAATCTGATTCTTCAAATAGTCTGAGTTTAACTCAAATCAACCTGGAACAGTCTAATGCTAATATTAATCAACAGCAAAATAATCAAAATCAATTAATTAATTCTACTAATTTAAAAACTGTGCCTAAAAAAACAAATCAGGAAAAAGATTCTAACATTTTAAAATCATTTAATAATTATAACTATTCATTAACAGAAAAGAAGTCAAATGAACCAATTAAAAATTTAATAGAAGAAGGTATATTAGATTTAACTGATACAAACAACTCAAGTGAATTAAATATTCCTACAAAAAGTATCAATATTGAACCAGTTAAACCCAATCTAGTTGACGAAATTCCATACAAACGTGATGATGCTGCTGTTGAAGTACCCAAAACTCCCATTTCACAAATAAAATATGATTACAATCTAAGTAAGCCATGTATGCAAGAACATTCGGATGATTCATTGATGGAATCATCTTCAATCAAATTATTCAGAGAAACGTATTTAAATAAACCCCCAATTTTACCCTTTCCTCCTGCTTCAGGAAATTTAAAGTCTGTCGCTACTATTATTGTACCACCAGAACAGAATTATGTCGAAACCTCAAACAATATCAGTTGTACGATTATCGATAAGAAAAAGAATGATAAAGTTGAATGTACACCCTTAAAACCAAAGGAAAAACTTTTTAATAAATCTAAATCAGAAAATGCATTAAAAAGAAAAAGAATGGAAACAAAAAAAAAACAAGTGTATGAGTCTGTTAAAGTTGAGCTATTTGGAAGTGAAATTTCATCGAGTTCAAGTTCGCATGAATTATTAAATACTAATGAACAGCACAAAACAATAGTTGTTAGTAATAAAAAACCTCAAGAAGAAAAGAAAAAATCTGGTTTGAAACACATACCCAAAATAAAATCAATAAAATCTATGTCTACTGTAAATGTTAATGGTATTGAAAATCATTTGTCAAATGAGTTAAACAAGCAACCTGTTAAGACTCCATCAATTAAGCCAATTATAGTACAACCCAAGAATAACATTGAAAACTCTTCAGAAGAAATGCAGAAGAAAAGTTTGAAAAAATTAAAAAAGTACATGGTACATTTTGATGACCCAGTAGAAAAAGTCTTTAGTTTGTCTAAAAGTCCAACACTATGCAAATCCAACAACAAAAACACTGGTGAAATACAAAAAGATACCACAATTCATGACTACTCAGAACAGTTGATAGGATTAAGTAGATATTTGAACAAAAAATCTTCAACGATTTTTGACTTTAATCCAAAAGGGAAAACAACCAAAACGATTAAACCTAGGGTTAAGACCACTAAAATAAATAATGGCAATTCCAAAATTAATCATTTGAAAATGAATAATGTAGATGGATCCAGTAAGAATATATCAACAAGTGATTTTTGCAATAAAAGAAAAACTCAGGATGTGAACAATCAAGGAATTAAATTATCTGAGAATTGTATGATAGAAGTAAATAAAGTGTCTTACGGGATGGAAAATAATGCAACTCATAATAAATTCATTGAACCATCAGAGTCTGTACAAACTATGTCTATGGATGACAACATATCTAAACCAAATTGTAATTCTAATCAAAAAATTAACATCAGTCCTGAAGGATCTGAATTGCCTATCATTAACCATAATAGAAGTGTTAATAATACTTCCTGTGTTACTGTTAAACATGATGATACAATTGACGTTCCGATTAACGAAATCTGTAATCCACTAGACAATATAGAATATTTAAAAAAGTCAAAGGTGTATGAAGTCATTACTGAAGATGGTGACCATGAGGTATGTTAATTATAACAGTATTTTAGTTTCTCTTTACTTTTGTAGGTACATTGTTTTCCCTTTTGATTAGTCTTAAGATTTTCTAAATATAACTTTTATGTTACTATTGATGTTAGAACATTTTTCAATAATTTTGAACCTTATTAAAATAAAACAAGTCATATCAATAAAAAAAAAACTAATATCATACATGTTACTTTTGGAAGGTTTTTTAGTGTTCAAATATAGTATATACCATAATGAAATCTATTCTATAGTTAATCAAATTAAAAAGCATAATTATATATTATTTTGGTATACTTTACGCTATATTAAAAATAAAATACCTAATTTTTAGGTGTTTTTTAGATTATTAATTGCATTGTTTCATATTGGATTAAGTTTAATTATTATTATACTTATTTACTTAATAATTTAATTATTTTATTTAATATTTTTCAGATGGTGTATTTAAATTTATCAGGAACATTTACTTTCCTTGATATACCCTCAGAGTTAAACAATGTACAGCTATCCGATCCAATTACCTCACAGTTGATAACAACAAATAAAACGTTAGATTCCACTCTGGAAATGGAAAGTGGTGAATTGAGAGATGATGAAGAAATTCTCATACCAGTGACGAGCACTCCTAAAAGCAGTTTTGAGATGAAAAATGAGAAAGATAATAGAGCCAGAAGAAGTCCCTCCTTTTGGGAAGACTCAGTTCTTAATTATTCAATAAGACACAGAGACGATAGATATAGGGAAACAAACCGTTGGCCAAATAAAACACACCGTAATTATGATAGAAAATATAGGTAATTTTTTGTGTATATTAAATAAAATGTACAATGGCTTAGTTTCAAGCAGTGCAAGTTAATACATTATTATTCTATTAGCTTTAAATATACAAGTTGTAACAGAAAGACCTGACAAGTGAAATAACTTTTGTTCTAAAAAATATTTTAAAATTTTTTTAAATTTCATTTTCAGACGCTTTCATAACACATACGTACTAAGTATAACATTCTTTATTTTTAATACTGAAAATATAAGAGTCAATAAATGATATATAAAAATTTTTTTTTAATATTGATTAGAACATAAGTTATTTCATTTGTCAGGTTTTCTGTTGCACTCTATATATATAATTCATAGTATTTATAATTAAATATAAATTATGTGAATAGGCCAAACAAATTTCAATACTACAATGAACGATTACAATTTGATAGCCGGAACCATTTTCAAAGAGGTCATCATCAAAATGTGAAAAGAGAGTTTTGGGAAGATTCAGTAAGGGATAAAGATACATTAAAGCACAAAGATGAAAAAAGACGTAGTTACCGTGATTATAGTAAAGGAAAAAATTGGGTTGAAGAAAATGAACGATTTTCAATTCCACAAAGAAAGTAATATATCATATTTTAAAACTCTTATTTATTTTCGATTAAACAAAATACTTTATTGTGTACAATTTATGTTCAAATTATTTTACAACAAAATAATATATTACAATTTAAGAATAATTTTCAAATATTTTATAGAAATTAATTTTTATAAAAATACTTAATCATTTTTTGAAAGCTGATTAAGTAGCTTTCAATTTGATATCTGTATATTGTATATTTATTACTAATCTATAAAATACAATATTTGGTATTTAAGTAATCTTTTGTTTTATGTAATTAATTTAAATTCAAACGTGCCATTATTGATGTTGTTGCTAATTATGTTGTAGGTCACTAAATGATTTACAAAAGTTACATAGATCAGAAGATATTGTTAAGAAGGCTACTAAAAGGCCCTCAGATCGAGAAATAAATAATAAGGTAAATTGCATTAAATATTTCTAAAAAATTCTTTCATAGTTTTTTTTTATTGTTACAGAATTATATTGAAAATATTAAATTGAAATTTTATGTTTTTTGTATATTCATACTGTTTTAATTTCATATTCCAAAGTAGAAAATGCTTCTAAGTATTTTTTTCAAAACATAAAATTTGAGTTTGCAGTGAGTAGTTTATGAGTTATAATTTAAGTATTTAAAGTTTTTGATGAGCTTAGTAGTGGATCAACATTTTATGGTTTAACTACGTACTACTCTACTTTGCTCATCCAAACTATAAATACTTTAAACTCATAAACTAGTCGTCCTTAATTCAATTTTTGTGTATTGAAATATTCAGAAAAATAGTCTGCTTTCGAAGATGAAATGAAAATTATATGTTTTGGTAAAAAAAGTAAATAACTTAAAAGTTATATGGTTAAAAATATTTAAAAGTATAATTTTGTAACAGCTTGTAACCATGTTAAAAAAATATTCTCAAAAACATTAATACTTTTTGTAATAATCAGTGATTTATGATAAAAGAACCATTTAGAATAAACAAAAAAAAGTTAATAATAATGAAGCATAATATATAAAATTTTATCTATACAAATAACTAGGTATTCAAGAAGCTATAGTTTAAATTAATTATAAATTGGTTAATATTTTGATATAACATTTCAATCAAATTGTTTCTAAAATACAAATGTCAATCATAGTGTCAACTGTCAAGAGTGATACATTTTAAACCTTTTTATAAAATTAAATATGTTTGGTAAAAATTATAGATATAATAATAAAACATATTTAAAGATGTATTTTTTAGTTCTTTAGCATCTTTATGCCATCATAATTTACACTAAATGTAGAAAAATAAATAAATTGTATTATTAATTTGTGTTGAAAATATATTTATGTTTTAGTTTTACAAATGATTATATACAGAAAAAGCTAGAGAGAGGATCTGGTACATTTGTACTACCTAAACAGTAATTTAGACTTATAAAATGTTAGTTATTTTCTCAAATATTACTTTGATAAATAGTACAATAGATAATAACCAAAATACCAAAAACCAGTGTGCACCAAAAGTGTTCAGTAATGCAAACCAGAAATTCACGTTATATATATGTATATATGTCGCATCCACTTATTGTAACTGTATTTTTCATTTAATGGATATCCATTTCATGAACTACGATCATATCACGTAAGTCAAATTTTAGTTCATGAAACGGACATATATTTTATCCATTTCATGAAATGGAAACTCTTATTTTACACATTGTGTAATATTGTTAACTAATTACATCAACAGGTTATTTTTCGTGAAATCAAAATACATTGATACGATTACACGAATCTAGTATTTTGAAATTGTAGTTTTTAGATTGGTTATCCTTCATCCAAGCACGAATCATATGCTCAATGTCTTGATTACTTCTTTCAATACTTCCCTGACTTTGGGGATGGCGTGGTCGGCCGTGAACTATTACACATTGTGGCCACAGATCCTTTAATTAATCCTTTAATTCCTTAATAATAGATTTAACAAATCCTCGTCCATTATCACTCTGAAGTATTTTAGGGGACCCAAATTTAAGAAAAATATAGTGAGTAATTTGTTTGCCATTTTCTATAGATCGTTAGCTTTCAAGTGGATACAACAATAAAAATGTTGTATTGTGGTCCTGATAATTCATGATCCGTTTATATTTACCATCGGGTGTAGACTGGAAACCGATTAAATCGACTTGACTCCTTTAATTTTTCACTAAATTCAGAAAATGAATCAAATTCCATTCTATCTAAAATAATTATTTCGTAATAAACTTTAATGTACGGCTTGCATCAAGCCAGAGGGCGTACTGTCATTATATACAAATAAAAATAAAAATGATATAGTATAGAACTTTTCCAGAATATCGTGGTCGTATCACACTCACACAATTGATGTGATTATTTATAGATAACAGGTGTCGATAACATATTAATACCATAGTACCTAGTTCAGTAAGTTCTCCAGTATCTATTTAGTGTCGTAATGCCTACAATTTAAAAATACTAGATTCGTGTAATCGTTTCAATGTTATTATTTTGATATCACAATAAGTTACCTATTGATGTAATTACTAATTAGGTAGTTAAAAATATTACACGAAGTGTAAAATAAGAGTTTCCATTTCATGAAATGGATAAAATATATATCCGTTTCATGAACTAAAACTTGACTTCCGCGATAGGATCGTAGTTCTTGAAATGGATATCCATTACATGAAAAATACGGTTACCTACACTATAAGTGGATACGACATATATAAGATATTGATCATTGCTGCTGTAAACTGTTGTGGATATGATTGATTTTTAATTTTAATTTTATAAAATCAATATTGTCGACATATTTGATTTATTTGTTTGATTTTGTGTTATTCGAGCATTGTTACGCACTTACGCATTTTTATTATCTTAGGTTTAGATTCTAAACAATGAGTAAAATAAATAAATGTACAATAATATTATATACTTTTTTATAACTGGCCAGAAAATATGTAACTTTATAATTTTAAGATCAAACTCTTTGCGACTAATTAGTAATAGTTTATTATATCTGATTAAAAATGTTGATTGTCATATTAAATGTATTTATTTATTTCCGTAGACTCCTGCTAAGGCGTCCAAAGTTGAACATCAACGGTTGCTGACAAATGTTGACGTTGATGATTTTTTGTCTGTTTTACACGGTAAAAAATAAAAATATATAAACTGTTACCTACCGTAATTTATTTTTGTATACACATTTAATTAATGTCAATTTTATATTATTATCTACACCATGTTTAAACAAATTAACATTCACTCGTTTGATGTCTGAGTAAAGTGGTTATGAGAGTATAGGTAAATGCAAGTTGCAGGTACCTGCTACTCATAATTCATATTTTGTACTCAGAATAAATTGCACTAGTTACGTTTTAGTTAATGATTATGTGTACAAACGTGAATGAAATTATTTATTTACACCATATTATATTATTTAATATTTATATTTATGAAATTATTTGTTGTTTAGTTTTTATACTATTATGAATTATTTATTGTATGTGACTTACAGAATATTATAATGGTAATATAATTATATTATTTTATTATATATTGTCATTGACTTCATTTTTATAGATCACCAGACTATGACTATAGTCATACAATGGACTATAGCCTATAGGCGTATAGGAAACCCGCCGTATGCACACCCACACACACTTCAGCATCGGCGTTAAAAATTCAGACGAAAACCCCATTAGACGATCGTTTGCCCTTAACCAGTTAAGTTGTACCTATACGGTTGTCGTTGATACTGTAGTGTGTTTATTTATTTTTTAAAATTAAAATCGTGTCGTAGAGCAATCAAGCACAACTATAGTCTCCGAATTATAAACTCCGAACTCGTTTATTCTTATAGACATTCCTAGTCCTACCTACTTTTTTCATTGATATTGATAAGTAATTTTTCTGTGTGTTGTCGTATACCCACTTTTCAATGGTATATTTCTACCGACGTTTGTGGCGCCAAAAGACTATAAATAAAAAGGTTACAGTTTGGCTCTCAAAAGTCAATATCGTTACTTTATTGCTTAGACTTTTCAATCCTCAACGACCACGAATTAACCGGTTACAGATTAGATTGAAAGAGTACAATAACGTAAGATTACCTTCACCGTTTAAACCTTAAATCCTCAACGACCATGAATTAATCGGTTACAGATTAGATTCAAGGAGTACGGCAAATTGCGTGACTACTCAAAATAAAACAAATACTTTTTCAGGTAGGAAACACTTTTATTCTTTATGACAAAATAAACAAATAGTTGTCCGTACAGTGATCGTCGCCTCTTCCGTGTGAACGTCGATGGCACGCTCTCGACAACACACCCGGTGACGACGCGGACACCTCCTTTCCTGCCCGTGCGGCCGTCTTATATCTATGTAATTTTGTCACCTCAGCACATTTTGCTTCACAGGCTTGACCTATCCTCAAATATTAATTGCTAAAAATATTCTCACCTAAGTAAAATAATTATAACGACAACGGTCTATACTGTCTATACTGTCTATACGGTCTAGCGAAACCACAGCCTGCCTAGCTGCTAGTTTTGCGGCCGGTGACGGCCGGAATATAGACTGCGTCCATGGGTTGCGGATAATGGGACCCCCGGTTCCCCTGAGTTTCGAGATGGCCCTGCTAATGAGTGCCGTTTTTTTAAATTTAAGATATTTAATAATATTATAAAATTTATAACGATAGGTACTGTATTTATTATATATTTATATTATTACTAATATTACTTAACAAAAGGAGATCATAGATAAGGCTAGTGTTTGTACACGAAATTCATCGATCGCTATCGACGTTATCTGCAATTCGAATATTCTCGAACTTACGTCCCATCCCGCCAAACGCGCGACACTTTTTCGCACGTCGTCCGTCGGACAGCTGCAGACAGCAGTCGTTGTGCCGTTGTTTTGGCGTGGTCAAATGGCTACACATAGTCTTTTCGGTCCGTCTCGCAACCTTATGTAACTTTAGAGTGCCGTTTGTTACATGGCTCCACATCGTACCACGTGTAATCTGTGGCACCAAAAAGTATACATCAAGCGGGTGTAAGTATAGCCGGTAATCTGAAAGGTAGGCCGGTGGTCGCCATGTCCGGATTGGTCTGATAGGTTGATGACCGCTCTCCCCGTCGCTCCCGTGTCGAACATCACGTACACCTTCAAAATTGTCGTCATCGCTTTTCTTCATTGTCGCTTTCGGCCTGCCGCAGTATTTTCCACGACTTTAATTGTGAGACGTGCGCACGTCTCACAATATTAATGTCGTGGAAAATACTACAGCAGGCCGAAAGTGGTGTAGTTTCGTGGTTGGCGGGCCGGGGACATGGAGCTTTCCTATACTATTTGTTAAACGAGGACGGCGGCACACTGTGGAAATTAAATCGTTTGAAGCATAATTAACGTAAAAGTAAAAATATTATATACAATTACAAAATACTGAACTGATTAAACCAAATATTATCGTAAGTAATCTTACCCGTAGAAGTAGCTCAGGGCACTGACGTAGACTTCTACCATGGCCGCCTTTTTGGTTGATCCTACAAAAAATAAATTAATGGCAATAATAATTGATTTTTGTAGAAACCATTTTTAATAGAAATATTAATTAATCCGACCGACAAAATTAATCGATATTTGTTCCAAATATTATTAAGTTTATGCTGCGTGAATTGTAATTATATTTTTTATCTTACCTATAGTCATGTGTTAGATTCTGAACGGAGTTAAAGAATGTACTATACTTAAAACGATGTGTGTCTTGTATTATGTCAAAATATATTGTAATTATGTAATTTATTTTACTATTAGCCATTAGAACAATTGTACTTAGTAGACAGTAAACAGCAGGTTAAATTAATTTTTGCCAAAAAAATTACATTTGTAAATGTAATGGTGTGTATAAAATATAACAATATAATTTAAAATTTGTATATATATTCTTAAATTAAAAAAAAAAACTAAAAATTAACGTTATTCTTGGCGTTACTAAATATATATTCATCAAAGTACGAACTTCAAATGTTTGTAATTGTGTTTATATATTTTTTACATTATTTGAGTACGCAGTATAAACTATTTATGAGAACCGTTGTTTTAAATTTTTATCCTTAGCTATAAATTGAAAATTGTATAATCTTTTAACTACAAAATGATATGTTAATTTCGAATTTAATAAAGTTTGGAAAATTGAACTTTGAATACTTAATAGACACAATTTAAAATCCAAGTGCTTCATCCGATGCGAAGTAAACTTGTTTACCAATCCCTAATTTTTTGTAGGTCGTAGTTAAAATTTGTAATTTTAATATATTCTACATTGTTATTTTAAAATACCGTTCGTCCATAATTCATAATAATAATAGTATTATTATAAGTATTTACGTTACTACATCGCCTTTTATTGTACCGCACTACCGGTGTGCTATTATTTTGCATACACAGCACGCCATCTGATTTATTAAGTACCAATGTTATAATTATTTAAATATTGCACGTTCTATGATTGAATTAGCACACAATTAGACTGTGGTAAGGCTCACAGACTTCACAGGTACTCGATAACTAGATTCGATAAACACCTGTATTAACATTGCATACTAGTCCACCTTTGTTTTTGTATATTTCTCAATTGTATATTTATCATACATAATTGAAACTCACAAAACTTACTACTCAGTACAGTGACTCTACCTGTTTGATTTCTGTAATTAAAATAACGTCATCATCGTGCAGGTCAAATAAAATGGGAAATATAATATGATTTAATTTTATTTCAGTCCACTTCTATTCAATTGTCATAGTGAGTTAAATCTATTTAGTCACAATAATATTAAATAGTTCATAATTGATAAAAAAAAAATATATATTCAATATATCATTCTAAACAAATAGGAGAAATAATATAGCACATATTATATGCGTAAAGTACTATATATAATAGACAACAAACATTTTTGAAATGCTAGGTAGAGGGAGTCGCACAGGATTAAAATATGTAACATAAAATACAATAACACAAGATATATACCTGAGTAGGTATGTTATCGACGAAAATCGATGAAATCGACAAAATAATTCAATCAATACAAAAAATGTCGAAGTTTGGAGATCAAGGACGGAAAAGGTCGTATCCATTTAATGTAGATATTTGGAAATTTCTCCTAACACAATATATAATTACCTGGAACTTGGAAGGTCACGATAATGATAAACTTACTTTTAATAAAATTAGAATGCTCTTTGGAGAGATCATGTATGGTACTATCAACGATTGCGGTAGACCGTTATGTCGGACTTATCCTGAAAATTACTAGAATACAAATCTACTACTATTAAAAGTGCGTATATTTATAAACTCAATATGGTTTAATACAATTTTGATAATTGAAAGTATAGTTAGAACGAGATATTTTAACTCATATGATATGAGAATCAATATAGCCATTATTATATTCCACTTAATATTAGTTATTTATGAATTAAGAAAAAATACTAAATATTACAAAATATTTTAAAGTGTTTAAGAACTGACATGAAACCCAAATCTTACTGAAATGTAAAAATTAAAAACTAATATTGTTAAGACAACGTTTAAATAATCATTAAAAAAATTCCATGTAATAATTATTGTATTATACATTATAATAAGGTTGATTCGCCAAGCATCTTCAGTGCTCACCCCCATTTTTCTTTTAATAACGAATTCATTCAAAATATGGCTTTTGAATTTTTAAATATTCAATATGAAAACTAACTCAAATTCTTGAATTCGCTTGCACTATACAACTGTGTCTTATGGTGATACAAACTTCTGTTTTTCAAATGAGAACCCTCTATTTTACCATAATTTATTTAGTGGACAAATTTTTTTTAATTGTTGACGTGGGTATCTGATTCAAAATTTGAATGATAAGTTTCGTAGCTATTAAAATGTTTGTGCTAAGGGTCACGATATACGATACTGGGGTCGTCTTCGTGTTATGATTTCGATGCTATCGCCTGTCAGTATAATATAGTATATACTTACATATGTATTACGTTGAATCGAACTTTATTTGGATTCGAAGTTATTCGCTCGTGACTTTTAAATCGTTACTAAAACAGTATGGCAGTTAATATATGACCATGCAAAACGATTTTACGTTTATTGAATCCGTACCCTGAACGAACAATTTAAATCTATTTACGAATATAAAATAATATTTATTACATAAGAGAATTTAGTAAAGGTACTTACGAAACTACACTCACTATTATACGCGTATCAAATATGAAGTATTCATAGTATTAATTTAATAATACCTATTTTTTCAAATTTATGTAGGCCAACTTATATTTTTAATCAAAATATCAGTTAAAATGTAATTAGCTTTTCATATTACTAAATGTTGTGATTACTAATTTAATACAAAAATGAAAATTATATTGAAAGAATTTAATTACCTCCTAGTTGAAGTGTGAAAAA